TTGCGCTTCGACCCTTAGCCGTGCCGCTAACAACCCTAGATTCGATTCCGTTGTTCCCTCGATACCTTCGCATCACCGCCCAGCCATGCTTTCTCTCTCCCGTTCCGCGCAGCGCGTTCTGCGGGGCAACGGAGCCAGCGTCGGCTCCGCGATGCACATAACGAGAAGCACAATACAGCGTATAATACCGGCCGCGTCTTACTCGTCAGATCAGTACGGCGAGAGAAAGGGACCGTATAGGCCGCAATCGCAGGGCTATAAGGCGGGAAATCAGCAACGGTCATATGAGAAGTCGTCGTATGGCGGGAACGAGTACCCGCAGACGAGTCAGTATAAGCGGTCCGATCAGCAATCGCCAAATCAGTTTTCCCAGTTCGACCAGCAGCCGTATCAGTCTAGATCGTCGGGTTCGTATCCGCGACGGGGCGAGCAGCAGCAACCGCCGCAACAGCCGCCGCCTCCACCGGCGGCGCAGCAGCAGCAGCAGTACGGGCAGGAGGAGCCGAGCGATGAGATTAAGACTATTGAATGGCAATCCGATCTGTCGAATTCCGTGAATCTGATTGGTCAGTGAATCTGTTCTGTAGATGCATCCTATCCATGCGCCTGTATGTGCCGCTCCTGTTTCACATGCACCCATGCATGCATGCCGTCCATGACCCACGCACAATCCATTTATGACTTATCCAGATCCCATCCATGACCCATTCATGATCGATCCATACCATGCATATCCCATGCACGGCCCATGCAGGCAACTTGGCAGCGGATCCAGAGTACCGGTTTCTCGACAGTGGCAAGTCCGTGGCGAGTGTGAAGCTGCCCGTGGGGTGGAAGAAGGCGAATTCATGACACATGCATGCCAGCCTTGCCCCATCCTCGCCCCATGCAGGCAACTTGGCAGCGGATCCAGAGTACCGGTTTCTCGACAGTGGCAAGTCCGTGGCGAGTGTGAAGCTGGCGGTAGGGTGGAAGAAGGCCAATGGGGAGAAGCACACTGACTGGTGAGGAGGACCGTGCACCTAATTCTGGACCTTCTGGACCGACTACAAGACATCTCAAAACTCGGCTTATAGTGCTCAACACGTAGGCTTGTCCGTGCGTGCGTGTGTGGACAATTGTGTGCATGTGCGTGTGTATCCGCGCGTGCATGTGTGCCCACACAGGTGCACAATACAGATGTGGAACGATGTCTTGAGCAGAACCTCAAAATGTATAGTTTGAGGCGCCTTAAAACCACACTGCTTGTGTGTGTATCCATGTATACATGTGTGTGCATGTGGGTGCATGTGTGTGCATGTGTGTGCATGTGTGTGCATGTGTGTGCATGTGTGTGCATGTGTGTGCATGTGTGTGCATGTGTGTGCATGTGTGTGCATGTGTGTGCATGTGTGTGCATGTGTGTGCATGTGTGTGCATGTGTGTGCATGTGGGTGCATGTGGGTGCATGTGTGTGCATGTGGGTGCATGTGGGTGCATGTGGGTGCATGTGGGTGCATGTGGGTGCATGTGTGTGCATGTGGGTGCATGTGGGTGCATGTGGGTGCATGTGGGTGCATGTGGGTGCATGTGGGTGCATGTGGGTGCATGTGGGTGCATGTGGGTGCATGTGGGTGCATGTGGGTGCATGTGGGTGCATGTGGGTGCATGTGGATGCATGTGGGTGCATGTGGGTGCATGTGTGTGCATGTGGGTGCATGTGGGTGCATGTGGGTGCATGTGGGTGCATGTGGGTGCATGTGGGTGCATGTGGGTGCATGTGGGTGCCCATGCAGGTATACAATACAGATGTGGAACGACGTGGCTACGCTTGCACAGAACCTCAAGAAGGGCACGCGCGTGTATGTGAAGGGGCGACTGCACATGGAGGAATACACAGACAGCAGGGGGGCGACGAGGCTGGATACCAAGGTGTGGCTTTCTTGTGCATGTGCCTCTGGTTGCGCAGGTGTGCTTGGGGGGGAGGGTGGGTGGGTGGGTGCGAGGAGGTGTGCACAGGTGTAAGTGAAGGGGCGATTGCACATGAAGGAGTGCACAGACAACAGGGTGGCGTCCCAAGGTGTGGCGTCCTGTGCACGCACCATGTCACTGGGTAACCAGGTGGGTGGGTGGCTGGGTGGCTGGGTGGGTGGCTGGGTGAGTGTGTGGGTGGGTGGGTGGGTGGGTGGGTGGGTGGGTGGATGGGTGGTTGGGTGGGTGGGGGGTGGGTGGGTGGGTGAATGTGCACAGATCCATACGAAGGGTCATTGAGCAGGTGCATGCATGTGAGAGGGCGACTGCACAGCACATGGAGGAACACACAAGGTATGAGGCGTAAGGCACATTGAGGGCTGGATTGAGGCATTGAGGCTGGATCTCAAGGTATGGCGTATTGTGCATGACTTAGGGTGCCCAGGTGCGCTTGGATGGCTGGCTGTCTGGATTGATATGTGGGTGCGCGGGTGTGTGTGAGCAGACGAGTGCACCTGGCGTAATTCAGTGCACAGCAGTAGGACAATTTGAGAATTCTCAAAAGCCTGTGTGAGCAGACGAGTGCACCTGGCGTAATTCAGTGCACAGCAGTAGGACAATTTGAGAATTCTCAAAAGCCTGTGTGAGCAGACGAGTGCACATGGCGTAATTCAGTGCACAGCAGTAGGACAATTTGAGAATTCTCAAAAGCCTGTGTGAGCAGACGAGTGCACCTGGCGTAATTCAGTGCACAGCAGTAGGACAATTTGAGAATTCTCAAAAGCCTGTGTGAGCAGACGAGTGCACCTGGCGTAATTCAGTGCACAGTAGTAGGACGATTTGAGAATTCTCAAAAGCCTGTTTGAGCAGACGAGTGCACCTGGCGTAATTCAGTGCACAGCAGTAGGACAATTTGAGAATTCTCAAAAGCCTGTGTGAGCAGACGAGTGCACCTGGCGTAATTCAGTGCACAGCAGTAGGACAATTTGAGAATTCTCAAAAGCCTGTGTGAGCAGACGAGTGCACCTGGCGTAATTCAGTGCACAGCAATAGGACAATTTGAGAATTCTCAAAAGCCTGTGTGAGCAGACGAGTGCACCTGGCGTAATTCAGTGCACAGCAGTAGGGCATTGATCCCCAGGTATGGCGAGGTGACTTTTGAGTCGACTCAAAAGTCATTTCGCCTTTGCTCCCAAAACAGGTGGATGTGTGAGGCGAGGTGACTTTGAGTCGACTCAAAAGTCATTTCGCCTTTGCTCCCAAAACAGGTGGATGTGTGAGGCGAGGTGACTTTTGAGTCGACTCAAAAGTCATTTCGCCTTTGCTCTCAAAACAGGTGGATGTGTGAGGCGAGGTGACTTTTGAGTCGACTCAAAAGTCATTTCGCCTTTGCTCCCAAAACAGGTGGATGTGTGAGGCGAGGTGACTTTGAGTAGACTCAAAATTCATTTCGCCTTTGCTCTCAAAACAGGTGGATGTGTGAGGCGAGGTGACTTTGAGTCGACTCAAAAGTCATTTCGCCTTTGCTCCCAAAACAGGTGGATGTGTGAGGCGAGGTGACTTTGAGTCAACTCAAAAGTCATTTCGCCTTTGCTCCCAAAACAGGTGGATGTGTGAGGCGAGGTGACTTTGAGTCGACTCAAAAGTCATTTCGCCTTTGCTCTCAAAACAGGTGGATGTGTGAGGCGAGGTGACTTTGAGTCGACTCAAAAGTCATTTCGCCTTTGCTCCCAAAACAGGTGGATGTGTGAGGCGAGGTGACTTTTGAGTCGACTCAAAAGTCATTTCGCCTTTGCTCTCAAAACAGGTGGATGTGTGAGGCGAGGTGACTTTGAGTCGACTCAAAAGTCATTTCGCCTTTGCTCCCAAAACAGGTGGATGTGTGAGGCGAGGTGACTTTGAGTCGACTCAAAAGTCATTTCGCCTTTGCTCCCAAAACAGGTGGATGTGTGAGGCGAGGTGACTTTTGAGTCGACTCAAAAGTCATTTCGCCTTTGCTCTCAAAACAGGTGGATGTGTGAGGCGAGGTGACTTTTGAGTCGACTCAAAAGTCATTTCGCCTTTGCTCTCAAAACAGGTGGATGTGTGAGGCGAGGTGACTTTGAGTCGACTCAAAAGTCATTTCTCCTTTGCTCTCAAAACAGGTGGATGTGTGAGGCGAGGTGACTTTTGAGTCGACTCAAAAGTCATTTCGCCTTTGTTCTCAAAACAGGTGGATGTGTGAGGCGAAGAGCCCTTGTGGTCAGTAGGTCTCGGGGCAACAGCAGCATCATTTTGAGATTCGCTTTTGAGAATTGCTTTTGAGAATGCTCAAAAGAGAAGAGCCCTGTGGTCAGTAGGTCTCGTGGCAGCTGCAGCATCATTTTGAGGTCGTCTGGAGCCTTTCTTTCTTTCTTTCTTTCTCAGCCCCTTTCCCTTCCATTTGCCTACTCTCCCCACCCCACAGGTGGATGTGAAGCAGATAGCCCTCGTGGCCAGCAAATTCGGCAACAGCAGCAACAACCAGGGCAGCAGCAGCAGCAGCAGGGGCCGTGAAACCAGTCCTGGGGGTTACAATAAGGGCAATTACAATCAGGGGAGTTACAATCAGGGGGGTTACTACCAGGAAAGTTACAACCAGGGGGCGTACAGCCCACAAGAAGCTGCATTTTCTGAACAGAGCAGCTACAGTAACAGTCAGGCGAATTACGGTGACCAGAGCTTTGGTAACCAGAGCTTTGGTAACCAGAGCTTTGGTAACCAGGCGGCGAGCAGCGGGCAGGGGGAAGCGATGGATGGACCGGTGGTGGCTACAGATGACAAGGGGCTTCCTCGGATTCCACGGTTTGATGGCAAACTGAATGGTGCGTGAATGGGGGAGGGATGGGTGGGTGGTTTGAGTTGGAATGGAGCAGCAGGCAGGGGGGAGCGATGGATGGACCGGTGGTGGCTACAGATGACAAGGGGCTTCCTCGGATTCCACGGTTTGATGGCAAACTGAATGGTGCGTGAATGGGGGAGGGATGGGTGGGTGGTTTGAGTTGGAATGGAGCAGCGGGCAGGGGGGAGCGATGGATGGACCGGTGGTGGCTACAGATGACAAGGGACTGCCTCGCATTCCGCGATTCGTTGGCAGACTGACTGGTACGCTTGGGAAGAAGGAAGCTGGGTGTGGGGTTGAGTGGTGGGCTGGGGGAGAAGAGAGGCGAGGGGGGGTCTAATGGAGTGGTGGGCAAGGGGGGTTCTCCCTTCCTTGCAAGTGGGAGGTGATGGATGGAGGCATTGTGGCGTGAGTCCTTTGATGACTACCACTTGCCCACCACTCCATTAGACCCCCCCAGACATTGCGGCAGGAGTCCGTTGACGACCCTGTGCAACTCACTTGAGTTTGGAGACGTCTCAGAACCTCCCTACCCGCTGTCCTCTCTGTGCCCCGTCGCTCGCCCCCGCTTCCCCCCCTCGACTCTGTCTCCCGTCGCTCGCCCTGGCAGCGGGGCAGGTGGAGGCATTGTGGCGTGACTTTTTCAACGACCCAGTGCAGTTCTTCGACTACCGGGAGATGAAGGTACGGCATGCATGGGTTCAAGCATGGGTTGTGGAAGCATGCCGTGTTTGAAGCTTGCTGTTGCAGTTGGTGAGGATTGTCAGAGAGCAGGTGGAGACATTGTGGCATGAGAGGCATTGTGGCATGAGAGGCATTGTAGCATGAGAGGCATTGTGGCCATGGCTTTATGAACCGTTTACCCTTCCCTCCCCTCCCTTTTCTTCCCTTGCAGCAACACGCAGAAGTGCCCCCCAAATACCCAGATTTCAAGAAGATAGCTACAGGCGAGCCGCTGTGGGTGGAGAGCCGCGGCACCCCTCCCTGGGTGCATGACTCCTTGCAAAAATACGATGATGCCTTTGCTGCAGCCCTGGCAGGCATGCCGCTTGAGGGGCAGGGGGGGGAGGAGGGTGCGGCAGGGGCAGGTGTTGAGGAGCAGTTTCAGGAGGAGTTTGGGGGAGGGGCGATGGACGCTCGTGGGTTTTGATAAGGAAGAGGGGCTCCATCCCTCCCCGTACGATGATGCCTTTGCTGCAGCCCTGGCAGGCATGCCGCTTGAGGGGCAGGGGGGCACGGAGGAGGGTGCTGCTGGTGGGGAGCAGTTTGGGGAGAATTAAAAAGAAGAGTTCGGGGGAGGGGCGATGGACGCTCGAGGGTTTTGATAGGGAATGCTGGTTTCTTCTTGTGGATGCCAAGTCGGGACACCCTGTCTGGGTGCACGATTCCTCGCAGAAATCCGATGATGCCTTTGCTGCGGCCTTGGCTGGCTTGCCCCTTGATGGGCAGGGGGGCGCGGAGGAGGGTGCTGCTGGTGGGGAGCAGCTTGGGGAGCAGCCGGTGAAGGGAGGAGGTTGGGGGATGGGCAATGAACGCGCCTGGGTACCGGTAATTTTCTCATGTGGGTTTACAGCATGCTGCCTTGCAGCTCTACGATGCTGCCTTTGCTTCGGGCAGGCATGCCGGTAACTGCTTTACGGGGAGGGGGGTGCGGAGGCACAGAAGGGGTCGGTGGAGGGGCGAAAGGGTTGTAGTGAGGGAGGGCCCTGGCCATGGATGCATGCTGGTGTAAATGCTTTTGAGTCGACTCAAAAGCAGGCCCTGGCCATGGATGCATGCTGGTGTAAATGACGAGGGTGAACTTCTTGCGGGTGCTGCACATAGCCTTGTAGAACCTTTTTTTTTTTTGACAAATCACAAGAGGCTCTTGGTTGATAGCATGTGTGGTCACATCTCACATGTGCACCTCTGTTAGCAAATATTGTGCTCACTGCATGTTGGTTCAAGAGAGTGTTGCTCAAGAAAGTGTCGCACCTACTTCGCATTCACAAGTGACAAGAGGCTCTTGATGACGTGTGAATTGAACTCATGATGGATTGGCAGCTCTGTTGCTCCATGACTAATAAATACCTCACATAACACATGAAGGGGATCCCATCCCATGCACCACGCCCATAACATATTGGAAATTACTCTAAGAAGCAGCAGGGCACGGCAAATGTACCAAGGGTCGGCTTGTGGACGGCGATAGCAGCATAACCATGGGATGGGATAGATTCTGAATAGCGGCAGCAAGCATACATGCACGCCTAAAGCAACAGCTATCTTTTTTTTTTTTTTTTTTTAGGAATGTCGAACTACAACCACTGCATGCCTAAAAAAGTGTGGGAATGATTCTGAATAGGGGCAGCAGGTACATGGTAGCAATCACCGCATACTGAGGCCCAGTGTACCAGTATATATCATACCCTAGCTTGCGTGCACTATACCGCTCCCCATGTGCGGCACGACAGACCACCCACACAGCACCCAGTGCTGCTGCCACTGTACCGCCTTCAAACAGCGTGCAGAGGAACATGGCCGTGATGAATGACGGCTGTGATTGTAACGAGGGGGTGGGGAAGTTGGGGGTGTGAGAAGAAGTCGGAGGGGGGATGGGAAGGCGGGGGGTGGGGTGGGGTGTTTGTTTTGGGGAATGGAGGAAGTCGTGTGTGTTTTTTCTGGACTCAAGATCTGGAGGCGCCTAAGAATAAGAACGGACTATCATTGGAATCGTCCAGCATGTAAAAACTTGAGTTATAAAGCCGACATTTGAGACGACTAAAAAGAAAGAGAAGAAGAAGAAGAAGAAGAAGAAGAAGAAAAGAAGAAGAAGAAGAAGAAGAAAAGAAGAAGAAAAGAAGAGAAGAAGAAGAGAAGAAGAAGAGAAGAAGAAGAAAGGAAGAGGAAGAGGAAGAAAGGAAGAGGAAGAGGAAGAGGAAGAGGAAGAGAAAGAGGGAGAGGGAGAGGGAGAGGGAGAGGGAGAGGGAGGAGGAGGAGGAGGAGGAGGAGGAGGAGGAGGAGGAGGAGGAGGAGGAGGAGGAGGAGGAGGAGGAGGAGGAGGAGGAGGAGGAGGAGGAGGAGGAGGAGGAGGAGGAGGAGGAGGAGGAGGAGGAGGAGGAGGAGGAGGAGGAGGAGGAGGAGGAGGAGGAGGAGGAGGAGGAGGAGGAGGAGAAGAAGAAGAAGAAGAAGAAGAAGAAGAAGAAGAAGAAGAAGAAGAAGAAGAAGAAGAAGAAGAAGAAGAAGAAGAAGAAGAAGAAGAAGAAGAAGAAGAAGAAGAAGAAGAAGAAGAAGAAGAAGAAGAAGAAGAAAAATATATATAAAAATAGAAAGAAAGTCGACTATACTTCTTAGAAAAGTTAAGCCTGGACTTTTTTTTTTTTTTTTTTTTTTTTTCAGAGGAGTACTTCTCCATTGTCAATCACGTACAAACTGCTCGACGAAGTTGGCCTGCACGCGGATGACGCGGTCAAAGTCGGGATTGCCGGACATGACGGGCGCGAAGATGCGGTACTTTATGCGCGCCGCGCGGACGCCCAGTATAGTCTGCGGGGGCGTGAAAAGGGAAAGAGGTGGGGGGGAGAGGAGAGGAGGAGGGAATGAGAAATGCGGTTCCTGGTGCGCGCTCCCTAATATCCTTGGAGCGAGATACGGGAGTTCAAAACAACTTGCTAGTAGAGGAGGCATGGTGTGACCTAGTACCCGCATGTATACGAGGTGCGCCGCGAACGCGACGAGCGCTGGTAGTTTAAACTCCTCGCGCAGCGCGAACAACGCCGCCATGTTTCCCGCCATGCTAGGTTATTCGGGTATCAAGTTGTGCGGTCCGAAGATAATGGAACCACTGGTTGTACCGCGGCACGGCCAGACAGAAATAATCGGCGCTCGAGACGAGACGAGCCGCACCTTCACGAACTGATGGCACGAATTAGCGGAGGAGCAATGGGGGAGGACAAGTGATGGTGACGTTGACTGCCGCGTGGATCAATCCAGCAAGCAAGCTAATAGTGACACGCCATTTTTCTGTTGCGGAAATGCGCACGAAAGCAGCAGCTGCGAGAAGCTGTTGAGAGGGGACGAGACGACATGACGGGGGGAAACTGGAGATTTTTTGGGGGGGGGGGGGGGGTAGCCTTGGGGAGCTGGAGGGAAATACGTCAGCAGAACGAAATAAATACAAACGGGTGTAGCCGTATCTACACTTCCTTAGGATTCCTGCTTACCGAAGGATGATTCCACCCATAGGGCAAATATGTACATGAATGCTAATAAATGTGAAGAAACCAATGATGATTTGTGAATACAAATATTTATATTCTGTTTTTCAACTAACAAACACTTATCCATATTGTGTTGCGATATTGTCGTGTTAATATCAACAACCCTCTGTAAATTGGCCAATAAGGTCATACATAATTGACATTGGCAACTGACTCTGAAAAGGGAACATACTGGATTATAATGTATCATAATTTTTTATAATATTGTTCCAAATATCTGGTTGATATACAGTGAAAAAATAGGTGCAACAGGAAATTGGGCCCTGACATACTAATAATCTTTGTCCTAGACATACTAAAAATTGGGCCCTGACATACTAATAATCCTTTGTCCTAGACATACTAAAAATAGGTGCAACAGGAAATTGGGCCCTGACATACTAATAATTTGAAGCATGAGTGTTTATCTTGAATTGCAGGGTGTAAGGAACATCCCTTTTCCTTACTTCGCATCACTGTAGCACCTCAGTCAGCACCGTTACCACTCGCGATCATCGCATCGACAATCATCCCGCCATTTTCGCACATCGCATCCCGACCTCACGGCTCGGCTGGTAACCCGCGCTCCGGGCCTACGCTTCGACACTTTCCCAACCTCAGTCCCAGGCTCGTCGCGCGACTACCACAGACCATTACCGTTACCACTGTAGTTTCGCTATATATTCTTCGCTCATGCCTTCGCTCATTGTATTCTTGCTTAGATAGTGCAATTCTCGTTAGTTCACTCAATTGCACTCGTAACACAGGGCTTAGTCAGTGTCGGGAACAAACCTTGTCCAGTTTGCAGAGGCGCACGCGCTTGAGAAAAGTGCACAGAACTGCTCGCGCCAAAGCGGGCTGACTGAAAGTTCTGTGTGAAATGTGTGAAATTACACGTCAAGAATGAAATCTTGCAGATCAAATTGTCTCCATCTGGCACTTGCATTCCCAGTAGGCTTGACATAGGCACTGTGTGGGATTCGAAGAGAATCTGCCCAGATTGTGCTATACCTTCTCTTGTCCAATAGGTGTACAGTGCTGTAGTGTACACGTGAAGTTCGTTCGAGTAATCCAAGTTTGCCTTCTTATTAAGGCTTTTAACTGATTCCAGGAACTCCGCAAATTTCGTCATTTAAAAAAAGTGTAACTCTACCCTGTCAGTTTGACTGCAATCTCTCCTGTTTGACTTCGGCTTCTGTGGTTTGTATTGGTTCACAACCACTGCACTTTGCTCAAGGGGCTTGTAATGTAGGTGTAACTTCTAGTAAAAATAACAGTGGTGCAGACTTTTCATCCTCAGAGAAAATTCGTGCACAGGGGTTGAGTGTCGTGTGCAAGAGGTCCCTCTTTCAACACACAGTTCGCACAGCTTATCGCTGACCGTCGAAATTGGCCTAGAAATTATGCGCCTTGCCGACACCGAATGGGAGGCCCTGCCCGATCGGATCTCTATTTCTCAAACTGACCACATGCCTTGTGTGTGACAGACCTTTTGGTGTAGGACCTTGAAACTGCAGATCGAAGGGAGAATCCATAGATATTTTCACTCGATTTGATCCCACAAAAACTACAGGCGCAAAATGAGTACTGGCTACAGTGTTTGGACGTAGCGGGCTGGTGCGATAACTCGGCTGCGAGCAAAGTCGCACGAGGTGACGAAACAAGCCTCTGGCAGTAAAAAACCGTTAATGCTGAATAGCCATAGCAACCGTTTTAAAAACGACAGTAACGTTTTTTAAAGTTTTTTACCTTGGCTGACCGCCTTGGGTCAAATTGTCACTACAGCGCATGTGATAGGACCTTCTTTGGTCCGTTGCGGTTACACTAGGCGTCTCGGTCAGTCTAACATATGCCAGTCTATCGAGAATAAGGGTGTACACTTTGAACCTTGATTACAGTACGAGGGACGCTCCAGCATTCGGGGAGAGTTTCCCCACAGGAATGATGAGAATGCTCGCCGCGTAAAATTTGGGACCACATTGCAACGCGCTTTCCGTCAACGATTCGCGATTGGGCATCGATTTGCATATTTGACACCGCCTCGCAACCTGCTTCGATTTCGCCCACAAGGACACCCCTCCCTCCCTCTCTCCTTCGCAACCAGCTGGCAGCCCTGCGTTTGGCCCTTAGGCCTCGAATCTAAACCAGAATTGAATTTCATTTGTTAGCTGCTGCTCACACGTCAAATCTGGGCCAAAAAACCCAACTTTCTAGGTGTTTTCTGTGTCAGTGAACAGCCGTGGTCTCCGCACGTGAATAACTTGCATGAGACGAATGCTAGCATATCAGATAGCTATCTCTTCCAACCCTAGTAACGTTTCTTTACTTTCCCCATTCGGAATGATCGGCAACGCTGTCGACACGTTTTACGCTGATCCAACTGCTGCGTTTCTTGTTTCAGACAGCACCAACACCCGCACCGCACAACCCGCAGATTATTCGAGTATCGACCCGAAGAGAGCATCTCACATCGACGTTTCGCGGCGCGGCGAGGGAGAACTTCCCGAACTTTGGGATGATATGCGCGCCTCGAACGAACTAGGCGGTGACATGGCGGCGGGTGACCTGGAAGATATCATTCTCCGCGCCGCTTCGTCGTCCGCCGTTCCGAATGGTGTAACTTTGCCATGGTCGTTCGATGCCGTAGTTCCCGCCGCGACCGCCGCTACCTCAGCTGGGGGGATCTCGTACTACACAGCCCAAGTTGACGCAGGGTCACTGCCGCAGAACGCGCCGCAAAACACGGTCCCGCAGGACACGGCGCCGCAGCAGTTTCACCAGGAGTGGTCGAATGGCGGCGCATGGATGAACAGTGGGCGCAGCGAGTATGATCAGTTGGAAAACGCTGGGTGGACTTCGCCTAGGATCCGTCGTCACGGTGAAAACGCCAGTACTGCACGCACGGACGACGATTTCGCAAACGGCGGCGAAGGCATGCCGCAGCTTTGGTCACAGGATGCCGGCGGAGCCGCAGAGGGCGCCGCCGTCGGAATTAGTGGTAGTCACGCCGCAAGACACGAAGGCGGCGGCTTCAGTCCCAGCCATCTCCCCGCCATTCTCCGCTCCCTCGCGGCGCACCAGCAGGCCGTCGAGGCCCTCGCGCCGCTCGCTACCGAGCCGCGGCGGCAGGCTGGTGAGTGGGATGGGCGCACGGGGGAAGCCGCCGCCAGCGCCGTTGCCAGAGCTGCCCCCCCATGGCGCAGTTCCGCCAGCCTGACCCCTGCAGTGGCGGTGGCGGCGCAAGCGCCGGGTTTTCTGCCGGCGGAAGGCATATTCCCGCCGCTTCCCCTCACGCGGCCGGCTCCCGCAGCTTCGTACCAGCGCGGGTCCCCCCGCTCCGCCGCAATCGTCGCCGCTTTCCCCGCCTTCTCCTCCTCCGCCTCGTCCGCGCACCTTTCCGCATCCGTCGCCGCCTCCCTCGCCGGCGAGCGACTCTGCTTGGTAGGAGGCGGAGTGAGCTTCGAAACGTCTCAAGACCCGCAACTACCGCAACTTGAAGCAGGGGACGGCTTGGCAGGTGGCGGGATGGCGTCTAGTAAAGCGGGTGCAGAAGCGACGGCGGAACCCGCGGGGGCGCAGAACCCGAGCGCCATTGACGCCCTGGCGTCCATGATTCTGGTTGCTGCGGCCGCTGCGGGCGGGCAAGGGGGCGGATTCGCGGGTCCGCCGCAGGGGGCGGTGGGCGGCGGTACCAGCGCAGGGGGTGGTGAAATGGATGGTGGTGATGCAACTGGGGGAATATGGGGGGGAACGGGGGGGGGAATGGATGGGGGAGTGGGTGGGGGGATGGCTGGGGGAGTGGGGGGGGGGAGAGGGTGATGAGTGGCGGAATGCTGATGTGGCTGGGAAGGCGGAAGCAGATGGAGATGGGTATGGGGAGTTTGGGGATAGAACTGGGCATGGCTTCTATGGGCATGGCTTTTATGGGCATGGGAATGTGGATGCGCTACTGCAGAGAAGAAACACGGCAACCAGCGGCACGGGGAACATGGGGAACATCGGAGGCGTGATTGCCGGTACCAGTGCCAGCGCTGCTGCTGCCAAGAGAGCCCGCAGGAGCAGCAGCAGTGGCAGCTTGCCGCCACCCCTGCACCACTCCCAGGAGGACACGTGTCTAACTGCTGCTGCTTTTGGGAATTCTCAAACGCGACAAGCTGCTGCTGCTGGTGCTGCTGCCACGGGTGCTGCTGCCACGGGTGCTGCTGCTGCTGGCAGCGGAATGGCGCCCCTGTTTGCAGTGCATCAGAAGTCGTCCCCACAGAACCTACGCCTGCCTGCTGCTGCTAGCGCCGCCTTGCCTCTTTCTGCGCAGATTCCACAGAGCCTGCGGGAGCAGCTACAGCAGCAGCTGCAGCGGCAGACCAGCAATTTGAGTGGCAGCGTCAGCGGCGGCGGCGGCGGTGCGAGCGGCGGTGCGGCAAGCGGTGGGGAGGGGCGTCCTTGGGCCGGCCCCACCATCACCACCATCACCACCACCTCGCTTGAAGGCGTGGGAAAGGCGTTCCCAGGGGCGTTCCCCCAGCACACTCAGGCGGCCCCTAACGCCCCCTCGCCCCTCCCCATCTCCTCCCCACCTGCCGCCATTCCCCTCCACCCTCCGCATTCCTCTTTCCCCGCCAGCGGGCCCCCTGATTCATCACTAGTGGATGAGAAACTAGATGCAGTGGCACAAGCACCGGGTGAGGTGGGCAGGAAGCAGCAAGCGAGAGGGGAGACTCGGAAACGCGGACGGGGAGGCGAGAGAGGAGGCAGAGCGGCAGGGGGGAGGCAGCAGGGAGCGAGTGACGGGGCGTGGGAGGAGGGAGGTGCAAGGAGGAGAAAGCAGCAAGGAGCGAGTGAAGGGGCATGGGAGGTTCGCGCAGGAGACGGAGACGCGGGTGGTGGAGCTAGTGCTGCTGTGGGAGGGTTTGAGGAGGGGGAAGGTGCGGAGGGAACGCGAACTCTGGGAAGGGTGTCTGGCGCATGTCTTGCTGCAAGGGTGAGTTGGCACATACCTGAAGCAGCTGGTGACTTTTGAGTCGACTCAAAAGTCTTGCTGCAAGGGTGAGTTGGCACATACCTGAAGCACCTGGTGACTTTTGAGTAGACTCAAAAGTCTTGCTGCAAGGGTGAGTTGGCACATACCTGAAGCACCTGGTGACTTTTGAGTCGACTCAAAAGTCTTGCTGCAAGGGTGAGTTGGCACATACCTGAAGCACCTGGCAAAAAGAACTCGGGTGGGGTGGAAAGCGCACTATTTCCTGTGTTTTCTCGCGCTGTTTCTCCGCACTCTCTCCTCGCCTCGGGCATTTGGGCTGGGGAGCTCCTCTCCCCGAAGCATAAGTTCCAACTCCTCCTCGTCCTCCTCAGCTTCTGCTCCCAACATTCCCTCTCTTTCAGGGTTAAATTATTTCGTGTCTTTCATCTCTCTCTCTCTCTCTCTCTCTCTCTCTCTCTCTCTCTCTCTCTCTCTCTCTCTCTCTCTCTCTCTCTCTCTCTCTCTCTCTCTCTCTCTCTCCGTCTCCTCCCCACTCCCTTCTTCCCCGTGCAGAAGCGGAGGGAACGCATAGCGAGTCAGATGCGCACGCTGCAGCGGCTGGTGCCGGGCAGCAGTCGAGTGGACACTGTCTCTGTTCTCTCTGATACCATCCGCTTCCTCTGCAGCCTCATTCACCAGATTCAGGTGCGTGCAGGGCACATACACACCCATCGCAGCATTTCTCTCTGTAGCTCCATAATCTGACGCTCATGATCCGACGCTCATGATCCGACGCTCATGATCCGACGCTCATGATCCGACACTCATGATCCGACGCTCATGATCCGACGCTCATGATCCGACGCTCATGATCCAACGCTCATGATCCGACGCTCATGATCCGACGCTCATGATCCGACGCTCGTGATGTCATGCTCATGCACTGGTGCTTCTGTCTTTCAAGCAACGACACACCCCCCTCTCTTGCCGCTGCCGTTTCTCTTTCTCCCTGTGGCAGTCGCTAGGAGCAGAGCCGGAGGGGTATTCCACCAGAGAGGCTGCAGAAGCAGCAGCAGCAGAGGTGCAAAAGCTGGTTCGAGACGGCGTGATAGCAAGCCGTCGCCCTGCAGCCAATCAGAGGGCTCCTTCTCAAGGTGTCACAGCAGCAGACCCAGCTGTAGCAGGAGGGGCGGCTGTAGCAGCAGAAGGGCCTACAGTACCAGGTAGGGCTGTAGCAGCAAGTGGGGCAGTAGCTAGCCCCAACGCCCCTCAAGGCAGCACACACACGTCCTCCCAGGGGCCCTCGCAGTCAATGCTTCCCACTGTATCCATCACTTCACCCTCGTTGGAGTGATCTATGGCCCGTGGTGATGGTGATGCTGTTGCTGATGCTGATGGCAGCAAGGATGGTGACTAAGGGGACATGAGGTGATGGCATGGAGCACGAGTCCCATACGGCTGCTTCCCACTGTCTCCACCACTTCACCCTCGTTGGAGTGATCTATGGCCCGTGGTGACGGTGATGCTGATGGTTATGGCGATGCTGTTGCTGGTGCTGATGCTGATGCCGATGCTGATGGTAGCAAGGATGGCAACTGAGGGGAGTGAGATGGTGGCACGGAGAAGATGCCTAGATCAGTCCTGTACATATCACTAGCAGCTCTTGCTGAAATCCATTCTTTCATTTGTTGATGATACGGTCCTTTCACTGGCTGAATCCCTCCTGCTGGCCCAATGCTTGTTGCTCCACTCCACGTCACGTGTACCACGCACCCACGCACGGCCCAGGCTGTTTCTTGCACACGCTGCCCCACCTGTATCCAACACCCACGCCTCCACATGTATCCTATCATATATACTCAGTTCTCCACATGTATCACATGGCCCTTGCTCCATCTGTATTCTATGTCCTCGCGTGCTGAACCATGCAACCAGAACACACGTGTACTATATCCACCCTGATAACTGCTCCGTACGTTGTTGTAGCACTCTATACAGGGAAGCTGGGGCGCTAGGGTGGTAGGAAATGGCAGTGTGTTGGAACGTAGCCTTCAGCATTCTAGGACCGTATGCATCCTTCAATGGGACATAGGTATCAGAGACTTCAGCATTGGATCAGGAGCGGCTGCTGCCGGGAACATACAACACTTGTTTGACCAGAGTGTGAAAAAACAGCGATTTCTCCACAGCGTTAAGGGACAATAATGTGGGCGGGGTGGGGTGTCACGACTCAAGACTCAGGAGTCAACTGTCACGGGGGAACTGTCACGGGGGAAGCACCCGAAGCACCCAGTTGAGTGGGTGGTGGCGGGGTTGCTGCTCTGCCCTCCCTCCCCAACCCCTCGTGCAGCGAACAGCCGAGTGGCACCAACTGTGTGTGAAGGGACAGTGAGTGGTGGGGTGGGGGTGACATGTCACGAGTCAACTGTCATAGGGGAAGCACCCGAGGCATCTACTTGAGTGGGTGGTGGCGGTGTTGCTGCTCTGTTCCCCTCAACCCCTGCTGCAGCAGACGGCCTACCAGCACCCACCGGCACCCCTCCCCCCCCTCCTCCTCCCCCTCCTGCCGCCACAACTGCTGCCAGCTCTCTTGAAGGGTCCTCCTCCAATGCTCCTTGTAGTTCCTCCATCTGCCCATGGGAGAAGGGGGGACATACTCACAAGAATGAATACAATACGACACAAGCACCCCTCCTCCTGCTCCCCCTCCTGCTGCCACCACTGCCGCCAACTCTCTTGAAGGGTCTTTCTCCAATGCTCCTTGTAGCTCCTCCGTCTGCGCATGGGAGAATGAATACAGCACGACACAAGCAAGCACGCACGATGATATGATGTTTATTGAATACGGGAGCGTGGACTGCTTCAGCCACAGATCCGACAACCTCCACCGCGCCCACGTTTCCCCTTCCCCCGTTGCAACAGCTGCTTGCTTACAGCGCCCAGCCCACATCCACTATCCACATGCAGCGCAGCGCACCCTTCTTTCCATGCGCTGTCACCTCCGTTTCCACTATCCACGTTGGTACTCACCGTGTGCATCAGCAGCGCGAACTGCTTCCGCCGCAGCTCCACCACCCTCCCCGCGCCCACGTTCTCCGCCTCTAGCGCCTCCACCTCCGCCTCCAGCGCCGCGATCCGCGCCTCTGAAACCGCGCGCGCAGGCTGCGCGGCGATCTGCCGCCGCACCAGCTCGCACTCCTCCTCGTGCTGCCGCTGCCGCCGCGCCTCCGCCTCCTCCGCCATTAGGCTATCCACTCGCGCCACCGCCTGATGTTCATGCGCGCGGGGGGGAGGAGTGGGGGAGGAGGGGGAAAGGAGGGGGGGAGGAGAGGGGGAGGAGGGGGGGAGGGGGGGGGAGGGGAGGAGGAGGAGGAGGAGGAGGAGGAGGAGGAGGAGGAGGAGGGTAGGGGGAGGAGGATGGGGAGCAACGCGGAGGAAGGATGGCGAATTGGGAGAATGGTCGTGGTTGAGACGAGGAAATGATAAGGAAAACGGACGAGGAGGATTCGACGAGGAATTCCAGAGTCGTCACACGGTTATCCATCGCACCTCGATAATATCCGCTTCTAGCTGTTTCGTCAGCTCGTGAAAGTGCTCCTGCTCCCTGCGGTTAGCGTTGATCACGGCGCGAGACATGTTTAGAGGCTGCTCAAATCCCGCCAATTCGTGCAGCACGGAGCGCGCTAATCTCTCGCAGTCATTGATGCTGCTGTCGGGCCGGGCCGCTTCTGAGGTAAAAGCGAGGAACTTCTTCAGGAGTTTTTTCATCGGCGGCTCGCCGCGAGTGACGGAGGTCCGCGTGAGCAGCCGCTGACGTATGATGGCGTCATCTTCCTGCGGGCCTACCGCGAAATGCGCCGCCATGAGAGGATACTTTCGGGTTGATAAGAGGACAAGTACGAACCGCGGTTGCTGGAAAAGTGCTAGAACGAAACGCAGCAGTTTTTGTAACTTAAACTCGAGGTCGACACGTCGTCCTAGACAGTTCTAAACTGATCGCACCACGTCCTGCTCCGAGCACCCGCCCAATCAGAAGCTAGACAATCATGTGGATATTCTACCGGAAACCTGCTATGCTAGAACGGGATCCTTCACTCGTAACAGCTCTCGAATTCAAGCTCCGATCCGGAACCCTAATACGCAGAGTTCACTAGAGGAGCCTGATTCAGCAGAAATAGTGGCTGTGAATCCTGCTGGCCGCTTGACTCTCACGCGAAGTTCTCGAGGTCGCGATATAAGCGTCGCTTCGGTTGGGGTAGTAGAGATGAGTGACCGTTCACACTTGCACTTCCCAAGAAAATCGTTTCACATTTTCTGTGGTCTCGAGTAGTTTTAAGGACAGCTGGCTTGTTCGGGAAGTGTTTCGGCGGGGAACCAGACCACGTCAGCTGTTGACTACTTGTATGTGTGGGTGCAAGACGGGGCCACGTCACGGGTGAACCCCTCCTAGACGAATCGCGCCATGCAGCTGACGAAACATGGAAGTGTTCGCTGAAACTGCTGCGGAACTGCAAACTGCCGCGGCCCCACTTGCGATCGCGCCCTCAGTCACATTTCCCTTGGGAATTCCCCCCAGCCTCAAATTCCTTCCCCTACTTGTTGCATTCATCTTTCCATTATCACTCATCCCATTCACCACTTATCCCAGTGGCATCAACGCTGCTAGCATTGCCTGTCGCGTTACTAAGGTTTGCGGCGGATCGACTTTTGCGGAATTCTCGAGGTGAATCTTGAAGGTTATTGTCTGGATTACACAGCACTTCAGGCATCGCCATTTTTTCAAACCTCTCTGAATTCGTCCGTTGGAATCAGGCAGCACATCAGGCATCGCCATGGCTGACGCGAAGCCGCAGACCCTCCGCGCGTGGCTGCACTCCGCCGTGGAGTCGCGCGGCGACGTGGCGGCCATCGTAGTCACGCAGGGAGGCCCCACCGTGACGCACGCCGCGCTCGAGGCGGCGGTGGATGGCGTGGCGGCGCAGCTGAGGGCTCTGGGAGTGCGACCCGGCGATCTTGTGTCTCTCGCTTTCCCTAACTCGCTCGAGGTACTCGTCAGTGCGTTGACTTGAGAGTAGACTGAGAAGTCAACTCGATCTTGTGTCCCTCGCTTTCCCTAACTCGCTCGAGGTACGTGTCAGTGCTCATCGTGCCAGTTTCGAGTAAACTCAAATCACGTTGTGCACGATTCCTCTCGTTAAATTCCATCGCGGGACCACTTGGGATGCCCTCTCCGTCCCTAATTTCATTCCAAATATTCCATCTTAATCATCAATTTTAACTTGTCCTGATGTCGGCATCCTTCATTTCTGTCAATTTGTGTGGATATTGCGAATTTTCATAATATTTTCCTTTCTTCCATCCCCACCTTCCCACTCTTCCTTCCCCCTTCCCTGCCCTTTCTTTCCCCCGCTCCAATATACCCCTCCTCCCCCCACCCCACCCCTCTCCCCAGTTTGTGATCCTTTTCCTCGCAGTTACGCGTGTTCGCGCCACAGCAGCTCCGTTAAATGCAGCGTACACGGAGGAGGAGTTCAAGTTCTATATGGAGGACGCGCAGGCGCGCCTGCTTCTTCTCCCCGAGGGCGGCACTCCCAAGGCTCAGGCGGCCGCTGCTGCCTTGGGAGTACCGGTGGCGCATGCTGGGAGCTACGGAGGCGAGGTGAGATTGAGCTGTTGATTCTCAAGGTTTTGTAAAAATGAACCGCGGTCTGAGATCGTTACTGGTGCCTGAGAGCGTTACTCCTCAATACCAAGGCTCAGGCTGCCGCTGCCGCCTTGGGAGTATCGGTGGCGCATGCTGGGAGCTACGGAGGCGAGGTGAGATGATATGAGCTACCGCTGCTCGAGAGCGCTACTGCTTTCCCACAGCGCTACTGCTGTCTGAGACTGCTATTATTTTCTAAAAGCGTTGCTCTCCTTGCCTCCTTTTCCAAAGCACCTCCCCCCCTCTCCCCTTCTCTCCCTCCTCCATCCAACCTCCCCCCCTCACGCTCTCCTTCTATCCCAGGAGGGAGTCCCCCTGTCCCCCCTCCCAGGCCTCTGCACCCTCCCACACGCCCGCATTCCCAACGGAAACCCCTTTCTCTCTTCCTCCCACCCCCCTCTGGTCCCCTCTCCTATCCAGGAAATAATTTCTTTGCGCCCCTCCCCAGGCCTCTCCGCCCTCCTACACGCCCATATCCCCAACGGACCCTCCTCCCTCTTTTCCACTACACCCCCTCCCCCTACCCCCCCTCCTCCCTCCTCTTTTTCTCAGGAAGGAGTCCCCCTGCGCCCATCCGAAGGCCTCTCCGCCCTCCCACCCGCGGACATCCCGGACGGGCCCGGCCCCGGGCCCACGCCCGACCCCGCTGACGTGGCACTCTTCCTGCACACGTCAGGCACGACCAGCCGCCCGAAAGGCGTGCCGCTGACGCACGCCAACCTGGCAGCATCCATAGGGAACATCATAGACACATACGACCTCACTTCTGCCGACCGGTCTTACCTAGTCATGCCTCTGTTCCACGTGCATGGGCTGATGGCTGCTCTTCTCGCCTCTCTCTCCTCTGGGGGCTCCGTGGTCCTCCCCGCCTCTGGCCGTTTCTCCGCGTCGACCTTCTGGGACGAAGTGGTGCAGAGCGGTGCCACGTGGTACACCGCGGTGCCCACCATGCACCAGATTCTCCTCTCCCGCCACCGCTCCCACGGCCCGCCCACCCTCTCGGGAAAATCTCAGGGGGAATCTCAGGGGGAATCTCTGGGTGAATCCACCGCCTCTGTCACTGCCTACCCGCCTCTGCGTTTCATCCGCAGCTGCAGTGCCAGCCTGGCAGCGGCAGTGCTGGAGGAAATGGAAACAGTCTTCGGCGCTCCCGTGCTTGAAGCATATGCTATGACCGAAGCAAGCCACCAAATGACTGCCAACCCTCTCCCTTCCAAGGGATCCCACAAGGCTGGGTCTGTGGGGTTGCCGACAGGAATCGAACTCGCGATCTTGGACGAGCAGGGGCGGGAGCTCGGGGTGGGGGAGCGCGGCGAGGTGTGCATTCGCGGGGCGAACGTTACGGCTGGTTACCGCAGCAACCCGGCGGCGAATGAGGCGGCGTTCGCGTTCGGGTGGTTTCACACGGGAGACGAGGGGAAGAGGGACGAGGAGGGGTATTTGTACCTGACGGGGCGGCTGAAGGAGCTGATCAACAGGGGTGGGGAGAAGATCTCGCCGCTGGAGGTGGATGCTGCGCTGCTGGCCGTGAAAGGCGTGGCTGAGGCCGTTGCTTTCTCTGCGCCTGATGCCCACTACGGGGAGGAGGTGAGTGGTATGGGGAATGGGGGAGGAAAGGTAGGTGACTTGCTTGTTAATCCAGGAGCGCTGTCACCAGGGAAGGGGGTAGTGGAAGATTTTTTCATGTATCATTTTGCCTGTCTCTCCTATTTCATCCCCTTCCCCTCCCCCTATGCCCCATTTCCCCTTTCCTCCACCATATAACTCCGTCCCCCTTGCCCCCCCCAACCTCTCCCCCTCCTCAACCCCCACTTCTTCCTCCCCCGTCCGTCAGGTGAATGCAGCAGTGGTGTTGGAGCCAGGTGTGTCTCTCACCCAGGAGGAGGTGCAGGAGCACCTGAAGAATCACCTGGCGGCCTTCAAGCTGCCCAAGCGCGTCTTCTTTGTCGACCATCTCCCGCGCACCGCCACCGGCAAGATTCAGCGTCGCTTCGTTGCCCAGGCCATGCTCAGTGGCGAAGGCACTGCTGCTGCTCCTGCTGCAGCTTCGGCTGCTCCTGCTGCTGCTGGTACTGCTTAATCCGATCTCGTCCTTAGCTACTGGGGCCTGTGGTGGGTCGGTCAGATTGCTCCACCTGCTGCTTCTGCTGCTGCTGCTACTTGCTCTTATTGGCCCTACTGGCTCTTAGCTGACACTTAGGGAGATTGGTTGGTAACAGGCGGAGAGGATGATGAACAGTGAAATTAAACAATGCAATTCTGTGAAAACATTTTGTGGCAAATTGTTTGTCGATGTGGTATGCAACCTTGTCTATTTCTCTCTTTCTGTTTTCCTTCCCTTTTTTCAATTCTCTGCTGCCTTCCATCCCATCTCCCGTCTCTCACTTCATCTCTGCTTTCCCTCGTCACTCTAGCCTTTTCCATCCCTATGCTTGCTCCCCAACGCTATTCCAGTAACCTCCTTCCCTGCACAACCCCTTCCAGCAGCCCCTCCTCCTCTGTTACTCTAGACGCCCCTTCTCTCATCGCCATCTCCCTCGCACGTCTCGGTGTCACCCACCTATTCAGAGTTACCAGTATCCCTGTCACCGCCGTCGGCACAGCAGCACAGCAGCAGGGAATGCGCTTGCATCCCATCTCTGCTCTCTTTCCCCCTCTTCCTTCACCCCACGGCGGCGGTGGCAGCACAGCGGCCCATGCCTGTTCTCTTGCTTCTCATCCCATCTCTGCTCCCTTTCCCCCTCTTCCTTCACCCCACCCCCTCTCCCAACAGCCCCTTCCCCCTCCCCCTCCGCTACCCTAGACGCCCCTGCTCTCATCGCCCTCTCTCTCGCTCGTCTCGGCGTCACCCACCTATTCGGAGTCATCGGCATTCCCGTCACGGCCGTCGCCACAGCAGCGCAGCAGCAGGGGATCCGCTTCCTCTCCTTCCGCAACGAGCAAGCAGCAGGCTACGCCGCAGCAGCCTACGGCTACCTCACAGGAACCCCCGGCGTGCTGCTTACAGTGTCAGGCCCGGGGTGTGTGCATGCACTGGCAGGGGTGAGTCATGCTCAGGTGAATACCTGGCCGCTGCTGCTGCTCTCTGGGTCTTGCACACAGGAGGATGTGGGCCAGGGGGATTTTCAGGAGTTGGATCAGGTGAGAGTGGTTCGGCCGTTTGTGAAGGAATCCGGGCGGGCAAAGTCGATTGCGGAGATCCCGGGGGTGGTGAAGCGGGCGGCGGAGGCGACGGTGGCCGGGCGGCCCGGTGGGGCGTATGTGGACCTGCCGGCCGATGTGCTGCACGGGAGTATTTCTGAGGAAGATGCGAGGAAGCTTCTGGAGGACGTGAAGCCCCTGGTGCCGCTCTGGTGCACCGCTCTGGACCCCTCTGCACCGCTTGCATCAGCCCTCGAGTCAAGTCTCACAGAGGCGATTGCTTTGCTGAGGGAAGCTAAAGCACCTCTGCTGGTGGTGGGGAAGGGGGCAGCATATGCTCACGCTGAGAACCAAATAGCAGCACTGGTGGAATTGACTGGGATTCCCTTCCTCCCTACACCCATGGGGAAGGGTGTTTTGTCCGATACACACCCCCTGTGCATCTCTGCTGCTCGCTCATTGGCTCTTTCCCAAGCTGACGTGGCGCTTGTGGTCGGCGCGAGGCTGAATTGGATCCTGCATTTCGGCCAGCCGCCAAAGTGGGCGGCAGGAGTGAAGTTTGTCCTGGTGGATGTGGACGAAAGCGAGGTGGCGCAGAGGCGGCCGGCGGTGGGGCTGGTCGGCGACGCCAGGGCGGTGGTTGGGCGGCTTGCGGCACGGTGGGCGGCGGAAGGAGGGCAGAAGGTTGCAGCAGACAACCCCTGGGTCTCTAAGTTGAAGGTTAGCAAGCCAAGACATGTGAAGCTCAGGCTGTCTTGTACCCGTCCTTCATGCCTCTCAATTCCCTCTCTTGTTCCCATTCCTATCCCCCTGACCCCTCTCCGTCCTCTCACCCATTGCATGGTGTTGGCCATTGCCGTCCTCTCACTCATTGCATGGTGTTGGCCATTGCCGTCCTCTCACCCATTGCATGGTGTTGGCCATTGCCGTCCTCTCACCCATTGCATGGTGTTGGCCATTGCCGTCCTCTCACCCATTGCATGGTGTTGGCCATTGCCGTCCTCTCACCCATTGCATGGTGTTGGCCATTGCCGTCCTCTCACCCATTGCATGGTGTTGGCCATTGCCGTCCTCTCACCCATTGCATGGTGTTGGCCATTGCCGTCCTCTCACCCATTGCATGGTGTTGGCCATTGCCGTCCTCTCACTCATTGCATGGTGTTGGCCATTGCCGTCCTCTCACCCATTGCATGGTGTTGGCCATTGCCGTCCTCTCACCCATTGCATGGTGTTGGCCATTGCCGTCCTCTCACTCATTGCATGGTGTTGGCCATTGCCGTCCTCTCACCCATTGCATGGTGTTGGCCATTGCCGTCCTCTCACCCATTGCATGGTGTTGGCCATTGCCGTCCTCTCACTCATTGCATGGTGTTGGCCATTGCCGTCCTCTCACCCATTGCATGGTGTTGGCCATTGCCGTCCTCTCACCCATTGCATGGTGTTGGCCATTGCCGTCCTCTCACCCATTGCATGGTGTTGGCCATTGCCATCCTCTCACCCATTGCATGGTGTTGGCCATTGCCGTCCTCTCACCCATTGCATGGTGTTGGCCATTGCCGTCCTCTCACCCATTGCATGGTGTTGGCCATTGCCGTCCTCTCACCCATTGCATGGTTTTGGCCATTGCCGTCCTCTCACCCATTGCATGGTGTTGGCCATTGCCGTCCTCTCACCCATTGCATGGTGTTGGCCATTGCCGTCCTCTCACCCATTGCATGGTGTTGGCCATTGCCGTCCTCTCACCCATTGCATGGTGTTGGCCATTGCCGTCCTCTCACCCATTGCATGGTGTTGGCCATTGCCGTCCTCTCACTCATTGCATGGTGTTGGCCATTGCCGTCCTCTCACCCATTGCATGGTGTTGGCCATTGCCGTCCTCTCACTCATTGCATGGTGTTGACCATTGCAAACCCCATGGACCTGGGCAGGACCTTGCTGATCGCCCCACTCCCATCCCTCCTTCTCCCTCCCTCCCCCTCCTCCCGCCTGCTCCTCCCATCTATCCAGGCCAAGGCATCAGCCAACAGCGTCCGAATGGAGTCTCTTCTTTCCCAGGACGCCCACCCCCTCAACTTCCACTGCTCCCTGCGCGTCCTCCGCGACAAGCTAGCCGCGCTGCCCCCCTCCATCACCACCCTGCTCTGCTCTGAAGGCGCCAACACCATGGACATGGGCAGAACCGTCCTCCCCCAGTTAACCCCGCGCTCACGGCTTGATGCGGCCACCTGGGGGACCATGGGCGTGGGGTTGGGGTATGCAGTGGCTGCTGCTGTGGCGCCGCTAGGGGAGGAGCGGGAGAGTGGGGGGAGTGGGAGTGAGGGTGGGGAGAAGGGGAAGAGGGAGCGGCTGGTGGTGGCGTTGGAGGGGGACAGCGCGTTTGGGTTCAGCGGCATGGAGATTGAGGTGAGTCATGGGCATTGGCATAGTCATATTTATCAATTAGGGAGGCTGAGGTGAGTCGTACTCATAGACATGAACAATGGAGGCACTTTTGAGACATCTCCCCTACCTAAACCCACTCTCTTTCCCCCGCCCCCCTCTTCCTCTTAATGCTGTACAGACCATGGTGCGATGCAATCTGCCCATAGTGGTCATGGTGATGAACAGCGGCGGCAACTATTGTGGCCTCCTTCCTCACTCACCCCCTCTTCCCTGCCCCGCCTCTCTTCCCCCTTGGTTCCCCCTCTACCCCTCATCATCAGACCATGGTGCGATACGATCTCCCCATAGTGGTGATAGTGATGAACAACGGAGGCCTTTACGGGGGCGATCGCAGGGAGGCCATCCACCTCCCTTCTTACTCTCACTCCCCCTCTTCCCCTCCTGACGTGCTCTCACATGCCACACCCATTCCCCCCAGACCATGGTACGATACAATCTACCAATAGTGGTGATAGTGATCAACAATGGGGGCATCTACGGGGGCGATCGCAGGGGGCCCGTCCACCTCCCAGACGCCACCCGCAGCGACACGCCCCCCACCTTCTTTGTGCAAGGCGCACGATAGGACCGCCTGATAGAGGCGTTTGGAGGATGCGGTTACCACGTTACCCACTCTCCCCTGCTCCCCCTTTCTCTCCCCCCTTTCTCTCCCTTCTTCCCAACCTTTCCAGACCATGGTGCGTTACAATCTGCCGATCACAGTCATAGTGATGAACAACGGAGGCATCTACGGGGGCATCTACGGAGGCATCTACGGGGGCGATCGCAGGGGGCCTGTCCACCTCCCAGACGCCACCCGCCTTTCTTTCCCCTCCATGTCCCCCCCCCCCCTTCCCTTATTTCCAGACCATGGTGCGATACAATCTGCCCATCATAGTCGTAGTGATGAACAACGGAGGCATCTACGGGGGCGATCGCAGGGGGCCCGTCCAACTGCCAGACAGCACCCGCAGCGACCCGCCCCCCACCTCCTTTGTGGAAGGCGCGCGCTACGACCGCATGATGGAAGCATTCGGAGGACGCGGTTACCACGTTACCACGGTGCAGGAGCTGGGAGCGGCGCTGGAGCAGGCGTTTAAGGAGAGAAAGCCTGCAGTGGTGAATGTGGTGGTTGACCCTTTGGCTGGTGCTGAGAGCGGTCGTCTCACCCACAAGAACTAGTTAAAGAGAGTTGGGTGCTGTTACCACGTTACCACGGTGCAGGAGCTGGGAGCGGCGCTGGAGCAGGCGTTTAAGGAGAGAAAGCCTGCAGTGGTGAATGTGGTGGTTGACCCTTTGGCTGGTGCTGCGAGCGATCGTCTCACCCACAAGAACTAGTTAAAGAGAGTTGGGTGCTGTTACCACGTTACCACGGTGCAGGAGCTGGGAGCGGCGCTGGAGCAGGCGTTTAAGGAGAGAAAGCCTGCAGTGGTGAATGTGGTGGTTGACCCTTTGGCTGGTGCTGAGAGCGATCGTCTCACCCACAAGAACTAGTTAAAGAGAGTTGGGTGCTGTTACCACGTTACCACGGTGCAGGAGCTGGGAGCGGCGCTGGAGCAGGCGTTTAAGGAGAGGAGGCCGGCGGTGGTGAATGTGGTGGTTGACCCCTTTGGCTGGTGCTGAGAGCAGTCGTCTCACCCACAAGAACAAGTTAAAGAGAGTTGGGTGCTGTTACCACATTACCACGGTGCAGGAGCTGGGAGCGGCGCTGGAGCAGGCGTTTAAGGAGAGGAGGCCGGCGGTGGTGAGTGTGGTGGTTGACCCCTTTGGCTGGTGCTGAGAGCAGTCGTCTCACCCACAAGAACTAGTTAAAGAGAGTTGGGTGCTGTTACCACGGTTCAGGAGCTGGAAGCGGCGCTGGAGCAGGCGTTTAAGGAAAGGAGCCTGGCGGTGGTGAGTGTGGTGGTTGATCCCTTGGCTGGTGCTGAAGGCGGCCGCCGCACCCACAAGAACTAGCTTTGGAGGAGAGACTGGGAGCAGGCGTTTTGAAAAGAGTGGTTGGAGCAGGCATTGCGTTTACCGAGAGATAGGAGGCCTGTAATGGTGAGGTGGACGTGGCGGTGGTTTTCCTGGCTGGTGCTGAGAGCGGCCGCTGCACCCACAGGAACTGGTAGATGTTGATGTCTATGTTTGAGGCCATTTGGAGATATCACAAACCCTTTTCTTTTATGGCCGCCTGGGTGTGCCTGTTGAGAGGACGATTGCTGAGAGGAGAGGAGGCTTGCAGTGGTGAGCGTGGTGGTGAGTCTGGTCTGGTGGTTGATCCCTTGGCTGGTGCTGAGAGCGGCCGTCTCACCCACAAGAACTAGTTTTCTGAGGGACACTAGGATATGCCTTTTGGAAGGGGGGTTGCAGCGAGTTTTTGCCTGAGGAAGAAGGGCTGTGGTGGTGGTGATTGTGGTGGTTGGCTGGCGCCGAGAGCAGCTGTCTTACCCACAAGTAATAGTTTCAGAGGGGCGCCCTGGATGGATGTGCTTCTTGAGAGGGCATTTGCAGAGAGGAAGCAGGGCTGCGGCGGTGAGTGTGGTGTTTCACCACATGGTTGGTGCGGAGAGTAGTTGCCTCACCCACAACAAACTTCGGTAGTCAGTGAGGGAGAGAAGGGAAGTCCTGAGAAGGGGCATTCCCAAAGAATCTGAGATTTGAGAGGTGGTGTGGTGAGTGTGGGTAATATACGAACTCGTGTCCCAGGGCGAGACTCGAGAGGTAACATTCATGTGATAGGCATTACCATTAGAGAGAGAGAGGGCGTCTGTCTGTAGATGGAAACCCAGGCCTATCTCATGAATGTTAATGATCCGCACTGCAGCAGCAGCTTCAAGAAGCAAGGCCCACGGGTCCCCTCTGCCATTCCTGCAGATTCCTCTTTTCAGGCTCCCCACCCCACCCCAAACATCGCATCAGATTTTCTTCCTGCACTTGTTGCGGGAAGCTCGGGGAGTCTGAAGAATCTTCGCCAGTGTCTCTCTTGCAGGTACCATATGTTTCGTTCCGGAAATAGTATGTGTATTGAAACCCATGGTTGCAGCTGTGCATTTTAAAGTATTGTCATCGCCCGGATAGAAGACATATATGTCTTATCTTATACATTAGAAAAAAAGCTTGATGTGTCTTGTAATTGGGACGGTTTAGGGTGTCTTATAATTCTTATAAATGGACAAAAAACCGTTTAGAAGATACCCCCTAGTCATAAGATTGCCCCTAATCCCTATACTGGCTTAACTTGTACACACCGACAGTTGTCTTATAATCAGGAACACCCATCTATAAGAAACACCCGTTTTAACGACACCCCATGTCTTCAATTCGACACTGTCTTATATCCGGGCGATGACGGTATGAATCCTTCTTGAAACACGCCAAGAAATATTATAATAAATAAATTCCTACAATCCTGCTCTCTGAAAAAATGTACTACCCTACGCATACTCTAAACTGAACAGCTATCGAAACATCTCAGAAGAGTACAGTACACTGATACGGTAGGTACGGGTATGATGATGATACAGGGGAGAAGATAGTCCACCCGCATAACTTGAATAGCTGCCAGCTGCATTTGACAAGTTTCTTCTCTACTCCTTGCCATCTGTGGAAGGGCACACCAGCACGGTCAGCCATTACCTCTCCTCTACTCCAGGTTACGCGCCCACTTGCCAGTGAAGCTCTCCTGTCTTTCCAGAATCTCAAAGTTGGTCACTGTGCACTGAACCATTCGGAGCCGTAGCCAGTTCAGCGGCTTTTGAGGCGCCTCAAAAGAGCTCTCCTGTCTTTCCAGCGTCCCAACGTTGGTCATTAAGCTCCGAACCATTCGGAACCATTGCCACTTCAGCCGCTCTCTCCTTCTTGCTTCTCACGCTCCCACCAGCAACCACACATGCCAGCGCTGCTGCTGCTGCCTTTCCAACGTCTCGAAGCTGGTGAAGGGGTTAGGGTGAGAGGCTTAGGGCTGTCCCCCGAACGCCTTCCACCTAAGCCTCTCCTCCTCGGCTTCTATGAAAGCAACCAGAACATGCACACTCGCCAGTGCCACTGCGGCCTTTTTGCCCCGAACGCCTTCCACCTGAGCCTCTCCTCCTCGGCTTCTATAAACGCCACCAGCACATGCACGCTTGCCAGCGCTGCTGCCACCTCCTCTACCGTCTGAACCGTCTGAAAGCTGCTCAATGCGCCCCAAGCGCCTTCCACCGCAGCCGCTCCTCCTCCTCTTCTATAAACGCCACCAGCACATGCACGCTTGCCAGCGCTGCGGCCGTCTCTTCAGGAGCATCAAACGCAAACGCCACCCTGTCACCCGTCTGCCGGTCTGTTACTGTGAACTGCTGCCCCCCTCGCACTCGTGACACCTCATACCGTGCGTCTCCCGGAGCATCTCCGGCAACCCCCGCACCCCCCTGCCCTCTCCCCCACACCTCCCCACCATGCCCTCCCCCACCTCCCTCACTCGCCCCCCCACTGCTCGCCTCCTCCCACACTATCTCATACGCAAAAGGATCCGCTCCCTCCGTTTCCCCGCCCCCTCCTCCCGCTTCCCGCTCCTCCCCAGCCCCTGCTCTCCCCCCACCCGCTCCTCTGCCTCCCCTCCTCCCACCCCTCCCTCTCCCTCTCCCTTTCCCTCTCCCACTCCCCCGCCCCCCACCATACCCCTTCTGCTTCAGCCTATTCGCCTGGTGGTGGCCCAGTAGCTGGATTGCCCCTGTGAAGGCTGCTTGCCGCTGTGCCTCATCCAATCCCTCCCCTAGAACCACTGTTGATTTCGTTGCAGTGAACACCACGGCTGCTTGCCTCCTTGCTGGTCGATGCGCCCCGTTTCTCCTCCCCCCCTGCTCCTGCTGCTCCCCTCTGATCCCTTCTCCCAATACCCCTACCGCTTCCCCTCCCCCTCCCCCTACCGCTCCCCCTCCCCCGTCGCCGTCATCCCTCGCAGTGGCATGCGTACTCACGTTCCCCTCCCGTCGCCCCTCCGCTTCCCTTGTAAATCCGTCTGCTCTTCTCCCCTCATCTTCCTTGGTGGGCCCCTTTGCTCCTTGCTCCGTTACACCCTTTGCCCTCCACCTCCACCCATCTTCCCCATTGATCCTAACACCCCCCCCGTCGCTTCTCCGCTTTCCCCTTACAGCTCCCCCCCTCGCCTTCCCCCTACCCTTCCCCCTTTGCCCCGCTTCCTCCCCCCAGATCTTCCCTTCCCCTCCCCTCATCTTCACCCTATCCCCCTCAGATATAGCAGCATGGGGGGTGGGGGAAGCAGGGGGAGCAGGGGAGGCAGAGGGAGGGGAATGGGGCGGAGAAGCAGGGGAGGGGGGCCGCGGAGAGAGGGAGGGGGAGGGGTGGGCGCGGATGGGGAGCGGGGGGGAGGGAGAGGAGGGAACCCAATGGGGGGAGGAGGAGGTAGGTGGAGGGGGGGGCGCATGTGAGGGGAACCGAGGGAGGGGGCAGGAAGGGGAGCGGTGGGAGCGGTGGGATGGGGCAGGGAGGGGTTTGGTAACAGGCGGCAATGGTGGTGCTGCTGGTGTTGATGATACTGGTGGTACTGGCACCATGGGTGGTTTGGTGGAATGATCTAGCACAGTCGTACTCTTGAAGGGGGGTGAACCACTCCTCTCTCGCACCTGTACAGCTGTCTCACTGTCACTAGCGCTCTCACTCCCACTCTCACTCCTGCTCTCACTCCCACTATCGCTCCTGCTCTCACTTCCACTCTCACTCCTGCTCTCACTCCTACTCTCACTCCTACTCTCGCTGGAACGCTCACTATCACTCCCACTCGCACTGCCACGTCCACTCTCACTACCACTCCCACCAGAACCAGCACTGCTCGAATCCTCATTTGCCTGCCTTTTCTCCTCCCTTCCCCCGTTCTCCTCCCTTCCAACTCCCTCCCTCCACCCATCCCTCTCCCTCTTCCGTACCTCAAATCTCCCCACCTGCCGAGGCACACCAACATTCTTGAAGCCTGCTTTCCTTTCTGCTCCAACCAGCCCAGTTCCCTTCCCTTGCGGACGGAAGCCCGCCTGGCTCTCTTTCACTGGATCAGTCCTTCCCACTTTCGGAGGCATCTCAAAACGTGCCGCTTCAGAAACCACTTCAGCTGGATTCGTCTTCCCGACCTGCTTTTGAGGATTCTTTGAAGTCATTTCGACTGGATTCGTCTTCCCCACCTGCTGCACCTCTGTTCGCCTCCTCTTCTTTGGAGTGGGGAAGCACTGGCCGTTTGTCTCATCGTCCCACCGAAAGCTTGCAACAGAGGCGGAGGGAGCAGCAGATGCAGCAGCATCAGCAGCATCAGCAGCATCAGGAGAATCGGAATCAGGCGCGACAGCAGCAGTATCAGCAGCAGAAGATGCCGCTTTGAACGCTACAGCATTGGTTGCAGCACCGGAATGAGAAGCATTGACAGCAGGACCAGACATAGGAGCACTGGCCACAGAGGGAGAAGCGGAAACAGAGGGCGAGAGAGACACCCTACTAGTACTCCAAGGTACCCTGCCCTTGGCCTTCTGAGCCCCTTTCAAACCAACCTTCCCTTTGCCCGGAACACCTGCACCCTTCTCCCCACCCCACCTGCCATTGACCTTCCCTTTACCACCCTTTCTCTTCTGCGCAGCTGTAGCAGCAGCACCACCACCACCAGCGCCACCTGCACCAGCAGCGGCTGTAGCAGCAGCGGCTGTAGCAGCGGTGGTGGTGGAGGTGGTGACGTGCATGAGCTCCTTGAGGCTGCGGCACCGCGGCCTCCTCCTGCTACAGTCCGCTCCCACCAACCACTCGTCCTCCCACTCCCACTGCGCCCCCAGCTTGCCCTGCTCCTCCTGCTTCTCCTGCTTACACTGAATCGCCTGCGTTCCCTGCTCATCTTGTTTTAAGCATTGCTGCGCCTCTTGCATGCGCTCCACTGCCGGTTGGCATTCCACTTCCTCCTTACTGTCTTCCTGCTGTTCTTCGTCCCGATGCTCTGCCTGCTGCTGCCCCTTGAACCTTCGCTCTGCCTGCTGCTCCTCATCCCTACGCTCTGCCTCCTGCCCGCCATCCTTGCAGCCTCCCTCCTCGTCCCTACGCTCTGCTTGCGGCGCCTTGGCCTCACATGTCGCTCCCTCCTCTTGCCCCTCAATCCATGTACCGTGACCGTAACTACTTGCACAGCCCGCACCATCAGCAGCACCACCCGCACTATCAGAACCACCCGCACCATCAGCAGCACCACCTGCACCATCAGAACCACCCGCACCACCACCAGCACCACCTGAGCCACTTCTATCTGTGCCATTTCTCTCCAAGGCACTGGTCTGCCTCTGCTCCGTCGCCCTATCAGCACCATCTAACACCACAGCCCCACCCGCACTGCCCGCCTGTTTGCCATCTGAAACTGCCTGCTTCTTTGCTCGCTTGGCTGAAGGCTTAGCTGCCGCCACACGCTCTCCATGCTTTCCGTTCCTCTTCTCAGCTGACTTCTCTACCCTCTTGCTGCTTGCATCGCCAGCTAAGTTCGCCACTGCTTCTGCTTCTGCCTCTGCTTCTAATTCTGCTCCTGTTTCTGCTGCTGCTACTCTCGCTCCACGCTTTCCGTTCCTCTCCTCAGTTGTCTCCGCTACCCTCTTGCTGCCTGCATCGCCAGCACAGTGCGCCACTTCTGCCTCTGCCTCTGCCACTCCCGCTTCTGCAACTTCTGCCTCTGCTGCTGCTGCGCCTGCTTCTCCTTCTGCTCCTCCTCCTGCTCCATCCCCGCATTGTGCGTCCTCATCTGCCCTTCCTGCTTGCGGATCCACACACATCACCCTGCCTCGCAGGTTCTCAATGCACACAGCAGCACCACGGCTGCCGTCCGCCTGTCTCTCCTTCCCCCCTATGCGTCCGTTCTGTCCTTCCTTCTGGACCTCGTCACTACAGCACCTGCCCTCCTCCACCGCCTCCCCGCCCGCCTCCCTCAACCTAGCCAGCGCACCTTCGACTCCTCCTCTCCTGCCGCTTCTCCCCGCTCTTGCTGCTGCCTTCCCACCCCATCCTGCTGCTGCCTGCCCTAATGCCTCTCCTACCCAGAATGCCTTCCCTAATGGTACCCCTCCTGCTGCTGCTGCTTCCCCTCTTGCTTCTGCATCTCTTTCTGCTGCTGCCTCCGTTCCTGCTGCTGCATCCCCGTCTGCTGTTCTCTGCCCTATTCCGTCCAACGCACGATGCTCAGCAGATGCCGCATCCTCTGTGTCTCGCAAATGCGGCCGCGCTGCTGTGCGTCCAGAATCCGTACGCGGCAATTCTCGTTCCTCGTTAACAATACTATTATTCTTCATAGTAGTACTGGTATGGTTGGTGGTAATCTCATTATCACAACCGATAGTAGCCTCCTCATTTCGCTCCCACCCCATACATACAGACATCCGCTGCGGAACTCCTTTCCGCCATCGCCGCCCGTGGACACCCGCGCGCGGCTGCCTGCTCCCCGCGCGCTGGCGGAGAGCGGAGAGCCAGGAGGGTGAGGCACCCCCCGCAGCGCCAAGTGTTTCCGCCAGGAAAGCTTCCGCACCCGTCATAACGCGACCACAATCATATCTGGTACTAGTACCAGCAGTAATGGTGGTAGTAGCACTAGTGACGGTTTTCCCTGGCGCTACACCCAACGTTTTTCTTTCACATGAGGCCACATAAGTAGGGTCGCCGATTACCACCACGTCTTCTATATCTTCCGAGCATTCCTGATCCCACACGCTCCGGCCGCTCTGCTCCCTTTCCGCTGCGGAGTTGCTGCGGAACCCTGTGGCCAGATGGTGCTGCGGCGGGGCGCAAGGGGGAAGGTAAACTTCCCCTTGAAGGTCAAAGAAACAGCCGGCGGCGTCCGCGAGTGTCGCGGCGGTGGGAGGCCATGCGGTCACCGCCAACGCTGGCGTTGCGATAGCGGTAGTACTAGTAGTACTAGAAAACGGCTTGTCTGATTCGGACGGCCGCTGTGGCTGCAGCGCCGCCGCCGGATCATGAAGCGTCGATTCCAATGACATCATGACCAAAGCGGTGGTTCCCGTTAGTGGATTGTGAGCTTTGCTGCTAGTACTAGTACTACTAGTAGTAGTAGCACTTGAAACTTATTAAATACTAGTACAGGACTGATCAGACGATCTAACAAAGCACCAATGTATTACTAGGTAAAGCACCGTTTGCAATTGACGGGCCCGTCATCATCCCTCTCTTACTCACAGGCCGTCCGACTGATGAGCACCCTAGCACTGGTACGATCACTAACACCACTAGTTGTAGGAATGGCAAAACTTTGTTGGGAAGATCTCGTCAGCCCGATGAAAGAGGAAGAGGGGGATGAAGGTGGAAGAGGAGGAGGCGAGGCGAACGGTGGAGAGGAGAACACGGACAAGAGCTCAAGGACGACTGGTGGTGGTGGTGGTCACAGAGAGACACAAGACTGTTCAAAGTTTGGCGCGACAGCGTCGGGATCATCATGAAGAGCATCGGACGGTTCAGGTGAATGATGGATGCGAGGGGCGGACGGAGGTGAGGGAGGGGGGACGAGGGAGGGCTGCCTTGCGTTGCTCCTGACAATTGATCAGCCCGGCGGCACTGTAGATTCTTCCCGATTCGGGCAGTTCATCCCTTGCGAAAAGAACCGACTCGGGCCTTGGGTTTACCCTTTTTCCCCTTTCGAGTCCCCAGAATACAGCTGGATTGCTGCATTGCTCGCTGGTCACGCATAGAATGAAACGCGTAGAATATGTACAGTGTGTAGTAAAGTGTACTATATCTTTTTTTAGTCAACTGTAAGCCGAATCAGTTTGTAGAAACCTGGCGAAGTCGTGGTGTCGTGGCTTGGCAGTGGGTGGCTGGGCTGGCTCGCATTCCCGTGTTTCTGCCCGTACACCCGAAAGTTCATCCTAAACGATTTCGGCATTTTCTTAGCCATCACAGCTTCACCTATAACGGGTACCACTCACCAATGATCCCTTTTTGCCATAATTCGTGCAGAACCACCAAGCCCTTCAGTCTGTGATCACCGAATCTCTGATTCCAGCTTGCAGTCCCTTGCATTCCAATTCAAGTTTCATGAAACCTAGGTATGTTCTTGCTAGGTGGCCCAAGGTCTCGTGCTAAAATGCATTCTGCTCCCACGTACCCGTGGTTTTAGCTCCTAGATTTCACTTTTAGGGTTCGCCGCTACGTTTCTGGCATTCAGTCATGCGCCGAGAGCTTAATATCGTTCCTCGTTCTAGCAGCACTCCGTTATCCCCGCCCCTCCAGCGCCTTCTCTCGGCTCTCCACGCCTGGCTTGCTGCGTCCGCTGCGCCGGATGCCGCGCCGGTGGCTCCGCCAGCGGCGGGGGGGCGGGCGGAGGCCGTAGGGCGGGGCTGCGCGAGGAAGCCCGCGCGCGTGCGCGTGGTGAGGGCAGCGGAGGCCGTGAGTGAGGGGATGCTGGCGGAGGGCGCACGGGGAGGGGGAGGTGCTGATGGGAAGGGGAATGGAATCGACAATGAGAATGTGGGTGATGCTAACGAGTATGTGACTAATGCGAAGGGGAACGCAGATGATGGTGTGGATGCAGGAGCAGAAGACAGCCTGGCATGGCAGGTGCTATGTGGTACTGATGCGCCTCGGCTGATGGTCCAAGCCATGGCTGCTGCAAGGTACGGTGAGAGGTGAGGCACGGTGAGAGGCGAGGTATGGTGAGAGGCGAGGTACGGTGAGAGGCGAGGTACGGTGAGAGGCGAGGTATGGTGAGAGGCGAGGTACGGTGAGAGGCGAGGTACGGTGAGAGGCGAGGTACGGTGAGAGGCGAGGTACGGTGAGAGGCGAGGTACGGTGAGAGGCGAGGTACGGTGAGAGGCGAGGTATGATGGGATGGGAGGTACGGTGGGAGGTGCATTGAAAGAAGATGAGAGGCACAGAAGGGGTCAGACGCTGGGAGATGCTGTAAGTTGGATTCAGGTGCTGCAAGGTGCTGCTGCGTTGTATATGCGTCTCTTCCCTGCTGTTGCTTCATTTTGCTTCATTCCCCTAGCAGTTGCGGATGCGCACGCTGCCATGCAGCGGTCGCAGCGGCTATGGCGTCACTGGCTGGCATCTCATCTCTTCCTGCTGCTCCCCCACCACGCCCTCTCTGTCTTCTGAAGCGCCTTAAAAGTGCGTCCATTACCTGCTGTAACATGTTGCTACATTCACCCCAGCAGGTGCGAGTGTACATGCTGCCATGCGAGGGTATCAGCAGCCATGGCGTCACTGGCGTCGCTGCTCTTCCTGCTGCTCCCCCACCACGCCCTCACTGCCTTCTTCCCCGCCCCCGCCCCCGCCCCCACTGCAGGTAAGCACCCATCACGTGAGACCGCTTTCCCAGACTTCAGAGGTCTCAGATCTTGGTTAGATCGTTCTGCGTGGCTGTTTTGCCGGCACACCCGCGGCTCTGCTGTGGCCAAGCGTGCGTGCATCACTATCTCTCAAGAGAGCCAGGTCATGTGTCGTGTCAGTCTTCTTACAGAATCTCCGTGTGTCGTTCCGTGGCCTGTTTTGAGACGTCTCAAAACACGTCTTCTTACAGAATCTCCGTGTGTCGTTCCGTGGCCTGTTTTGAGACGTCTCAAAACACGTCTTCTTACAGAATCTCCGTGTGTCGTTCCGTGGCCTGTTTTGAGACGTCTCAAAACACGTCTTCTTACAGAATCTCCGTGTGTCGTTCCGTGGCCTGTTTTGAGACGTCTCAAAACACGTCTTCTTACAGAATCTCCGTGTGTCGTTCCGTGGCCTGTTTTGAGACGTCTCAAAACACGTCTTCTTACAGAATCTCCGTGTGTCGTTCCGTGGCCTGTTTTGAGACGTCTCAAAACACGTCTTCTTACAGAATCTCCGTGTGTCGTTCCGTGGCCTGTTTTGAGACGTCTCAAAACACGTCTTCTTACAGAATCTCCGTGTGTCGTTCCGTGGCCTGTTTTGAGACGTCTCAAAACACGTCTTCTTACAGAATCTCCGTGTGTCGTTCCGTGGCCTGTTTTGAGACGTCTCAAAACACGTCTTCTTACAGAATCTCCGTGTGTCGTTCCGTGGCCTGTTTTGAGACGTCTCAAAACACGTCTTCTTACAGAATCTCCGTGTGTCGTTCCGTGGCCTGTTTTGAGACGTCTCAAAACACGTCTTCTTACAGAATCTCCGTGTGTCGTTCCGTGGCCTGTTTTGAGACGTCTCAAAACACGTCTTCTTACAGAATCTCCGTGTGTCGTTCCGTGGCCTCCTTGTCACATGCTGTTGTTGCTCTTCAGATGAGGCTAGGCCGTCAGATGATGCAGCAGCGGCAGCAGCAGCAGCGGCAGCAGCACCACCACCACCACCGCCACCAGCAACAGCAGCAGCAGCAGCAGCAGCACCACCAGGAGCAACATGCATGGGTGCTTTTTGCACGGAGAGGCAGTGCCACCAGCCGTGTCTGCTAGCACACCTCTGCTCCCTCCTACACTCGCCTCCTTCCTCCCTTTCCTCCCCCTCGGCTTCTTCTCCCTCGCGGGCCGCCACCACTGCAGCAGCGCGCTGCATGGCTGACGTGGCGTCGTTGCCTCTCGGGGCCCACCTGGCTCGTCAACACAACGCCCTGCACGCGCTGCTCTCTTCCCTGTGCGTCCTGCTAAGTTGTGACACTTTTCAGAAGACGTCTATCTACACGCGGTTTACACCAGCTGATGCATTGTGCAACTTCACTTCACCCTCTCGGGGCCCACCTGGCATGCCAGCACAACGCCCTGCATGCGCTGCTCTCTTCTCTGTGCGTCCTGCTACATACCCTGCCCTTCTCCCTCTGCTGTGTTCTCTGCTCTATACCCCGCCCGTTGTGCTCCTCCCCCGATGTCTGTCTGTAGTGTTGTGTGTGCCTTACCCTGCTCATTCATTGTTCTGTGCTCTCCCGTTCACTCCCTCCCTTACTATACTGCAATCTGGTGTGTGCTACATGGTTTGGTTTGGTGTACTCCCACAGAGCGTCATGGCAGAGAGATGATGGGGGGGAGGCGGACGCACAGAAGGGACGAAAAGGAAGAAGTGGGGAATGTGGAGAGACGGAGAGGGAGGAGGAGGAGGAGGAGGAGGAGGAGGAGGAGGAGGAGGAGGAGGAGGAGGAGGAGGAGGAGGAGGAGGAGGAGGAGGAGGAGGAGGAGGTGGAGGAGGAGGAGGAGGAGGAGGAGGAGGAGGAGGGGGAGAAGGAGGAGGAAGGGGAAAATGAGAGGAGTGCAGAGGGTCAGACACACGAGCACCTGCGCACACATGTGGACGCCCTGTGGTCGCTGCTCTTCCTGTCCCATTCCCAGCCCACTCATTCTCACCCCCATCCTCACACCCACCCTCACTCTCACTCTTCACCCCTCCCATCCTCCAACCCGTCTCTTCCTTCCTCATCTCCCCCTCACCTCCCCACTCTGCCAACCTCCCCCCTCCCCTCCACCTCTCCTCATGACCTCCCTTCTCTGCCGCCTTCCCCCTTACTCGTGTCAGCCCTGGCGGTGCTCCGCCAGGAATACTCCCGTATTCTCAGAAAGGACAACTCGTGCCGCCCGCAGCAGTCTCAGCTGGATGGCAGGCGGTGTCATCTAGCGGCTGTGATGGCATGGGTGGGGATGGCGCTCGCTGTAAAGGCAAGGGGCGGGGAGAATGGCGATGCAGCAGAGGAAGCGATGGTGGAAGCAAAGGGAGATGTGCCTGAACAATGGATGCATGCAGAAGCATGTGGCAAGGGAGTCTGTGTGCCTGAAGCGAGTGTGGCTGAAGCGAACACGGGTGCAGACGCATGCAGCAGGCGGGCAGAGCAGCTGCTGGGCATCACATCGAGCTCATGGCCTGCCTTCCTGTCCACTGTATGGGAGAAGCGCCCCTTCCTCTTGAGAGCGCGTGGGGGAAAAAGGGACGTGGAAGATCAGTCGCTCCCTCATCAGCACTCTTCTCTCATACCAAATGAAAACCCTTCCCGTCCCTCACGCCATCACTTTGTGAGGCGCATGGAAAATGGCCGATTCTCTCTCACAGGTCAGGGCCCTTCCCTCGCAGCTCTAATCCACGCCATTCCGCACCTCGGAACTGCCTATGGGCTCCTGGATTCTTTTCTACCCGGGGCAGCGTACTGCCCAGGAATGAGCGCGGATGAAGCCGACCCGTTTGCTGCTCTGAGGGACATGGCCGTGGCAGGCGAGCTTGGGCGGCCTCTCTTGTCCTCACCTGACGTGTCCTTTGTTTGTTCGCAGCCGTCTGCTGTGGGGGGATCTGCATGTCATCACCATGCTTCAGAGACTGCAGCAGAGGATGAAGTAGCAGAAGAGGGGGAAGCAGCAGCAGAGGGACGACGAGCGTGCAAGCGCAGGCGTGTCACTGCAACCACCCTGCCGTCCGCATCCCTGCTGTGTGTAGCCCAACCAGCTTCAGCCCTGGCATCATCTATCTCCCCAGCGTCAACGCACCAGCACACCTCGCCAACCGTACCGAGCCTGTCAACCATCTCAGCCCCACCAGACCGCCCAACCCTCCCAGCCTACCCACCATCGAACCCCTTCCATACAGCCTTCTCTCGAGGCAGCACCATCGCTCTCCGCAGTGTCAACTGCCGCTCGCCTGCTGTGGCGTCCCTCGCACACGCCATCGCTGCCGCCCTCTCCCTGCCAGCTGTCGGGGTCAACCTATACCTCACGCCGGGCGGCGGGCGGCAGGGCTTGTCTCAACACTGGGACGACCACTGTGTGCTGGTGTGCCAGGTGGGTGGGTGGGTGGGTGGGTGGGTGGGCTGGCAGGCAGGCAGGCGGGCGCTGGGGTGGGTAGGGTGTAGGGCGCTGGGGTGGGTAGGGTGTAGGGCGCTGGGGTGGGTAGGGTGTAGGGCGCTGGGGTGGGTAGGGTGTAGGGCGCTGGGGTGGGTAGGGTGTAGGGCGCTGGGGTGGGTAGGGTGTAGGGCGCTGGGGTGGGTAGGGTGTAGGGCGCTGGGGTGGGTAGGGTGTAGGGCGCTGGGGTGGGTAGGGTGTAGGGCGCTGGGGTGGGTAGGGTGTAGGGCGCTGGGGTGGGTAGGGTGTAGGGCGCTGGGGTGGGTAGGGTGTAGGGCGCTGGGGTGGGTAGGGTGTAGGGCGCTGGGGTGGGTAGGGTGTAGGGCGCTGGGGTGGGTAGGGTGTAGGGCGCTGGGGTGGGTAGGGTGTAGGGCGCTGGGGTGGGTAGGGTGTAGGGCGCTGGACACAGCTTCTGAGGAATGATTGTGTGTTTCTGTACGCCCCTTCGCTCTCTTTGAGTTTGTGACAGGTGAGCGGGCGCAAGCGGTGGCGGGTGTTCCGCCCCAAGCCAGGGAACGAGCTGCCCCGCCTCTTCTCCGTGCCTGGGCTTGAATCAGCCCATGCTGCGCTTGAATCAACCGGCACAGGCGCACGCACAGCAGGAAGAGAATCGGATTCCAATACAGCGGCTGATGAAGCTAGAGGGGGGAATGCTGTGGCAGAGCGTGGCGGTGGTGCGAGCGACCAATGTGGAGTGCAGGAGGGAGGAAAATCAGGCGTGGAAGCTCATGAGAACGTCGCAAAGCAATGTGCAATGCGTGAGGGAGAAAGAAAACTGGCCCACGCAGGTGGCGCTGATGCTGGTGGGGAGGGGGCGCATTGTAAGGCGCCTCAAGACAAGCAGGGGGAGGAGGAGGAGGAGGAGGAGGAGGAGGGGGGGCGGGTTCCAATAGGGCGGCAATTTAAACTGAGACAAGGAGATGTGCTTTACATCCCCAGAGGGTACCCCCATGAGGCTTGCACTCCCTGTGAGGCCACCTCAGTCACTCCAGTCAGGTCCCAGCAACCCCTTGGTCTACACTCACATGAGGAGCCCTCCTTGCATCTCACCTTCGCTCTTGAAGTGGACGCTCCTTACACGTATGACACTTTCTTGAGTCCTCTCTGTCTCCCTCCCTTTGCTCCTACGGCCTTCCTTTCAGGAGCACGTGTTTCTCGATTCTCCATTATTGTATTGGTTTCCTTGGTTTCTCTGTTTCGCATAAAGCACTAAGTCTTGTTCATGCCTTCCCTTGTCCGTTCTTTTCATGCCCATTTCCCTCCTCCCCCATTCAGCTGGGAGGGTTTCTTCCATGCAGGGCTGCGATGCTGGTCACACTCCCTCCCTCCCTCTTCAACGCAAGCTTTTGAGGCGCCTCAAAATTCCTTCCATGCCCATTCTTCCCATGCTTCCTCCCCCATGCAGCTGGGAGGGTTTTTTCCATGCAGGGCTGCGATGCTGGTCGCACTCCCTCCCTCCCCAACGCAAGCTTCAAATTCTAAACTCACTGGATTGTAAGGAGGGAAGAGCAGGGAGTGAAGAGGAAAGGGGAATTGCTGGAGCGAGTGTGCGAGAAAGTGGGCGGGCGAGTGAGAGTGAGGGTGTGACATGGGAGGTGTGTGAGTCGCTGCTCCATGCCCAGCTGTGCCAAGCAGGAGACACCTTCCCAGACCTGCGTGCCTCCTGCACAGCTACCGTTCTGCACCCCTCTTCACCCACCAACATGTGCCCGACAACCAACTATGGCTGTTTCTCACATGTGCTTCACCTGCTGGAGCAACCACAGGCGTTTTCATGCCCCCTGCAGCCTCTTTCCCAGCTTCTTGAATCCATCAACCACACTGCAGACAAAGACCAGTGCGTCTCACAGGACGGTCATCAGCATACGTCTGCCTTCCTAGCGTGTGCGTCTTGGTTGGCCCACCCCCCTCCCTCACACGCTCACACTCGTTTCGACATTCACAAGCACATAAACGCACACTTGCACCAGCAGCAGCTAAGGCACCAGCAGCAGCAAAGGCACCAGCAACCGCAGCACCTGCAGCACAGCCATCAAATGCAGCAGCAAAGGCAGAAAGGCACAGCGGGCTCGGAGCCACAATGGCTGAGTGCAAGCATTCATCACACGCTCGCCCGTGTTGCACGTGCTTTTCTCAGCGATGTGGACAGCTGGGTGCCTCTTGCAAGAGAGTATGTTCGGTGTAAATATGGCCTGCAGCTGTGGAATTATCAAGTGATGGAGGCTGCACTGGCAACGCTGCAGGTTGATTGATATCATGTCTTGTGGCGCCGCCTAGTTGGAGTGTTGCGCACAGCTGGGTGCCTCTTTCTAGAGAGTACACTCAGCGTAAATATGGCCTGCAGCAGTGGAATTATCAAGTGATGGAGGCTGCATTGGCAACGCTGCACGTTGATCGATATCAATAAAATCTAGGCGCCGAGTCAAGCACACTTTTCTTAACAATGTGGCTGGTTACCGTAGGTTGGTTTGGGTACCCCTTGCTAGAAACTAGCTAGAAGCTATATGCAGAGGTACCGTACGGTAATAGGACTTGCACCAGGGCAGTCGTAAGGAACAAGAGGCAACACTAGCTACACACAATGGTGGATGCAGCTTGACTGGGAATGGTACCATATAGTTATGGGAATGTATATACTGGTAGATGGTGGTAGGGTACATGAAACTTCAAAATTGGCTGCCATGCCATTGCCTCCCTCCCTATCCTCACATTTCTCACTCCCCACGTGTCGGGTTTCCCCCTACCTCGCTTGTTCCTCTAGCAACCTTCACGTTCCCTTCATCCATTGCTGCTTTCGCTCGTCTCTGCCGCTTCCTTTTAGCAGCACGGGACTCCCGAACCTCCGGCTGAGGTTCGGTCCGAACGTCAGGATGTGCTCTGGTGGCATCACTGTCATCACCAACATCTGCCATATTGTTACTTGAAATTCTCGCCATTTCTGTTGTTCCATCTGGACTGGCTGTTACGGCATCTGCTGCTACTGGTGCTGCTGCTGATGCTGCTGCCATTGCTGCTGCTGCCATTGCTGCTGCTGCCGTTGCTCCTGTTTCTGCTTTTACATCTGCTACCTCTGCTCCCGTCATCACTGTTGTTCTATCAGCATTTGCTGCCTCATCAGCAGCACCTGCCACATCAGCAATGCTTGCCATGTCAGCAGCACCTGCCACATCAGCAACGCCTGCCATGTCAGCAGCACCTGCCACGTCAGCAACACCTGCCACGTGGCGCTCAAAGAGTGCAACAAAGAATCCATCGGTGCCATCGGTGGCAGGATCTGTGCGCACCACTTGGTGGCCTGCAGAGTGTGGGGAGGGAAGGGGGGGGTTCAGTTCAGCAGGGAGGTGGGGGGGGGGGGGGGGGGGGGGGGCAAGAGGTACTGGAGGTTTGGCTTCACCACTTCAGGTTTGAGGTTTCTGGATTTAAGGCAGCAGGGAAGGGGAGGGTTTCAGTTCAGCAGGGATAGCAACAGGGAGCACACTGCCACCAGTACTGCCTTGTTCACGTGATTCACATGGCGGATTTGAAAGGGGCGTACTTACCAAAAGGGTAGGAGAGCATCCCTCTCCTGGGCCAGGCGGGCAGGGCCGGGGCGAGGCGGAAGCCACAGGAGAGAGCCGCAGGGAGCACTGCTGCTACCACTGCCTCGTTCTCCCTCTCGTTGATGGAGCATGTGCTGTAGGTGATGCGCTCTGCTGATGGGACTGGGGGATACGGACAGAGGAGTGCAGAGGGGTGCAGAGGGGTGCAGAGGGGTGCAGAGGGGTACAGAGGGGTGCAACGGGGTTTCAGAGGGAGCACTGCCGCTACCACTGCCTCGTTTTCCCTCTCGTTCACGGAGCATGTGCTGTAGGTGACGCGCTGTGCTGCTGGGACTGGGGGTAGAGAGGGGTACAGAGGGGTGCAAAGGGGTGCAGGGGGCTTCAAAGGCTGCACTGTCTGTCATCAGCTTTGCCTTGTTCTCCCTCCTGTTGACTGAACAGGTGCTGTAGGTGATGCGCTCTGCTGCTGGATGCAGAGGAGAATAGAAATTGCAGGTGTGGTTCAATCACCCTGCAGCAGGGAGCAGTGCTGCAGCCAAGGCCTCGTTCTCCCTCTTGTTGACTGAACAGGTGCTGTAGGTGTCTCGCTGTGCCGCTGGGACTGGGAGGAAGAGAGGGGTGTAGTGGGGTACAGAGGGGTACAGAGGAGAAGATTGAGTCCTGCTCTTAAGAGCAGTACAGTGCAGTGCATGCTCTTAATTCAGTTTTAATACCGCAGAATGCCCAATCATGAGAAGTGAACTATGAGAAGTGAACTATGAGCAGTTAACACGTACATGAGAGGGCATGCCTCAGCGCGGCTTCCTGGAAACGAGCCAATCTCTCCACCCGCTCGTCCTCCCCCTGGCGTCCGCTGCTGGCCTCTGCTCCTTCAATCCCCCCATTCCCCTCCTCCTTGCCCCCTCTCCCCCCGCCTCTTCCCCCATCTCTTCCCCCACCTCTCCCCCCACCTCTCCCCTCGCCTCTCCCCTCGCCTCTCCCCCCGCCTCTCCCCCCACCTCTCCTTCCACTCTCCCCACCCTTGCTCCCTCTCCCGCCAGCCCTGTCATGGGAAGATGTGGGCCCCTGAGAGAGGAGCAGGTCCCCTCGGGAGTGCCGAGTGCCTGATCCTGAACAAGAAGGATCCAGCAGGATTGCTCGCACCTGGAATTGGGGGAGAGGGAAGGATGTAGCGGCACACACGCAACACAGGGGCGCACAACGAGGCCCCATTGAGAAAGGAGCAGGTCTCCTCGGAGGGGTTTCAACGGCGACCACACGACTTGCTGCGTTTCGAATCCTTCATTACTCCGCAAGGGGTTCCCATTGAGAAAGGAGCAGGTCTCCTCGGAGGGGTTGAGCAGGATGGCTTGCACCTGAAGGGGGGAGGGGAGGGGAGAAAGCGTGTTGGAGGACAGAGCAGGAGGGTCACAGCAGCGCAGTGCAGAGCAGCATAGCGCAGAGGAGGGTGGGGAAGGGAAGACGCATTGGCATGCGTACGACACAGGGGTCGGAGGATAGGAGATGAGAGGAGCTCACATCGGCGAATTCAGGTGAGGCAGGGTCGATGGCGAGAAAATCCCCCTCATGCACGTGTGCACCTGGCGAGGAGCAAAGGGGGAGAGGGGAGGCGGGGGAAGAGAGAGAGAGAGAGAGAGAGAGAGAGAGAGAGAGAGAGAGAGAGAGAGAGAGAGAGAGAGAGAGAGAGAGAGAGAGAGAGAGAGAGGGCGAGAGCTTTCGACATGAGAGCTGCCGCGTGAGTGAGTTACTTCTGAGAAGTTCGAGAGAGCCTCTAGTGGTCACCTTTTGCCCCTCATGCACTCACAAAGGGACGCACCATACCTCTTACACACTCACATACGGCCAGTCAGGACCTCGAGAAACACCTAAACACCTATGGCCATGAATGCAGCCACGTGGGACATCTTGTTACCCGTCACTCCCACGCACTCACATAAAGCCTTTCTGTGAACCTCAGCAAACACACAGTCACTCACATGTCACCCCTGCTTTCTCCAGGTTCTTCTGTAGCAGTGTTGCTCTCTTGGCATCTCTCTCACACGCAGAGAGCCGCCCTGTGTTCGCCATAAGTTTGAAGAAGTGTTTTGAGACGTCTCAAAACACTTCTGAAAGCCGCCCTGTGTTTGCCATAAGCGCAGTCAGGTGCGGTGTCTTGTTGCCATCACCACCCTCCACCACACTGCACGTACTCATAACCTCCAGCACACTCACATGTCACCCCGGCTTTCTCCAGGTTCTTTCGGAGCAACGTTGCTCTCTTGGCATCTCTCTCGCATGCTGTGAGCCGCCCTGTGTTCGCCATGAGTGCAGCCACGTGGGATGTCCCTCATCACTCCTCATCACCCCTCATCACCCCTCGCACACTCACACGTCACCCCGGCCTTGTCCAGATTCTTCCTCAAAAGAGCAGCTCTCTTGGCATCTCTCTCGCATGCTGTGAGCCGCCCTGTGTTCGCCATGAGTGCAGCCAAGTGGGATGTCTTGTTGCCCGGCGCTGCACATGCGTCCAACACATGCCACCCGGGGCGAGGCGCGAGGATGAACGCGGGGAAGCAGCTGGCGCGACCCTGAAGGAGAGCAGAGAGAAAAAGAGCAGGGGGGTGGAGAAGCAGGATCAAAACAGAGTTTTTAAAAGACATGAGACATGAGCGACAAGGAGGGCATTTGGCGAGGATGAACGCTGGGAATCAGCCAGATAAGGTCAACCAACCGTGCCACTTACGCCACCCACCCACCTGCAGAATGAGGTCACCCCTCTCCACCACAAGAGCGTGCCGGTGCAGCTCTGTGCCCGGGGGAAACACTAGCACGTCTGGAATCAGCTCACTGGGTGAAGAGGCTCTCACACACACACACACACACACACACACCACCCATGCGCCCACCTGCAGAATGAGGTCGCCTTTCTCCACCAGAGCGTGTCGGTGCAGCTCTGTGCCCGGGGGAAAGACAAGCACGTCTGGGATCAGCTCACTGGGTGAAGAGGCTCTCACACACACACACACACACACACACCACCCATGCGCCCACCTGCAGAATGAGGTCGCCTTTCTCCACCAGAGCGTGTCGGTGCAGCTCTGTGCCCGGGGGAAAGACAAGCACGTCTGGGATCAGCTCGTCCTGCTGTACTGAAACCTCCCCCTCCACCCTCAAACCTGCACTCTCTGCACTGCTGCTAGCGCCACTTTCACCATCCCCACTTTTGCTGCTAGCGCCTGCATCAATCCCCCCCTCCTTGCCGCCATTCTCTTGGGGAGTGCCCGCCTGAAAGTGCACCAACACTGAATCGGAGGTGGTCCGCAGGGTGTTGACTCGTGCATAGCGGGGGTCTGCAGTGGCGGGAGTAGGGGGGGAGGGAAGTGGGGGGGAGAGGAGGACCATCTTCCGCGGCCCTGCCACTGTCCTCTTGGGAAGTGGCAGCCTGAAAGTGCGACAGCACTGAATCGGTGGTGGTGCGCAGGGTGTTGACTCGCGCATTGCAGGGGTCTGTGGAGTGAAGGACGTAAGGGGGGGATGAAAGCGAGGGTGGTGAGTAAGCAGGCACGCGCAACATGTGGCTGGCGGTGCGCTGGGTGTTATCTCGCACATAGTGGGGGCGGAAGGGGAGAGATGAAAGAACAAGCACTAGCAAAGCGCGTGTGTGATTGGAGGGACCAAGCAGTTCCTCCACTGATGCTGCTCGCTGCTTCACCAGCAACCAAGCAAGCGCCACTCTGAGAGGAGGTGACTGTTGCCTAGACCAAGGAGGTGGGAGTGGGGAGGAGGAGGCAATAGGACTCACGTGCAGCAACAGGCGGGTCACTGGAGGGACCAAGCAGTTCCTCCACTGATGCTGCTCGCTGCTTCACCAGCAACCGAGCAAGCGCCACTCTGAGACCGAACGAGTGCACCCAAACGAGTGCACCCGAACGAGTGCACCCGAACGAGTGCACGAGGTGACTTTTGAGTCGACTCAAAAGTCAGCGCCGCTCTGAGGCCGAACGAGTGCACGAGTGAACAAGTGATTATCAAGGAGGCACGCGCAGTGTGGAAGTGGCACACGCACTTTGGAAAAATCTCATGGGACTCACATGCAGCAACAGGCGGGTCATTGGAGGGACCAAGCAGCTCCTCTACTGATGCTGCTCCCTGCTTCACCACTGTGAGGAGGCAGTCACAGGACTCACATGCAGCATCTGGGTCGCTCTTGAGAATTCCCAAGAGACTCACTCACGTGCAGCAACAGGCGGGTCACTGGAGGGACCAAGCAGCTCCTCTACTGATGCCGCTCGCTGCTTCACCAGCAGCCGAGCAAGCACCGCTTTGAGAGATTCACTCGACCCAGAGTTGTGGCAGTGGGGAGGCAGTGAAGAAACTCACGTGCAGCAACAGGTGGGTCACTGGAGGGACCAAGCAGTTCCTCCACTGATGCTGCTCGCTGCTTCACCAGCACCCGAGCCAGCGCCGCTCTGAGAGCCGCCTTGTTTGACAGCACTACCTTCTGAACCGCTCCTGACCCCAGTGTACCCTGTGATGGAAAAAAGACATTAAAGGGGTTGGTGTTCAAGGGTTTAGGGTTCACCAGCAGCTGGGCAAGCGTGCTCTCAGGACGTTCTTGTGTGACAGCACTACCTTTTGCACCGCTCTTGACCCCAGTGTACCCTGGCAGGGGCAGGGGGGTCGGATCATGGGAAGGATAAATGGACCCCAGGCATGGGCATCTGGCGATGTGAGAGCGATGGAAAGCTGATGAGTGATAGGCGCGGAGAGGAGAGAACAGGCGCGGAGAGGAGAGGAGAGGAGAGGAAAGGAGAGGAGAGGAGAGGAGAGGCGAGGAGAAGCGAGGAGAGGAGAGGAGAGGAAAGGAGAGCAAAGGAGAAGAAAGGAGAGGGGAGAGGAGAGGAGAGGAGAGGAGAGGAGAGGAGAGGAGAGGAAAGTATGCCTCACCTTGCCAGAAACCACCAAGTCATATACGAGCACATACACCAGGTGGGGCTTTAAGGGCTCACCTTGCCAGAAACCACCAAGTCATATACGAGCACATACACCAGGTGGGGCTTGGCCTGCCACACAGACAAAGGTGAGGGAGGGTGGAGAAAGGTACAAATGGGTAATCAGCTCCTTCACTCGAGTGGAGCGATGTGGGCTTTGCAAGTTGAAAAAACTGGGGTATACTGGGGCGGAATGGGGTGCACTGGGGTGCACTAGGTGCACAGGAGTGCATTCGCCTCCACTCCCTCCCCCCACCCCATATTCCCTCCCCCCACCCCATATTCCCTCCCCCCCACTTAGTCCATCCCTCCCCCCTCAAACCTCCTCCCCTCACCCCATATTCCCTACCCTCACCCCCACCTAGTCCATCCCTCCCCCTCAAACCCCTCCCACCCGCAACCCCTCTCCCCTCCTTCCCCTACCTTCATCCAGTTGCTGTTAACGAGGCCTGTTGCGGCAATGAGATCCTTGATCACAGGCAGGTCTGATGGGCGGGGTAGAGAGGGGTGAAGAGGGGCAGGGGGGGGTGGAGAGCGGTAGAGAGGGGTAGAGAAGGGCAGACAGAGGCAGTAATGAGAATGTAAGGGTCGAGTGAGGCAGACAAAGGCTTGAAAGCACTAACCCCTGAACCAGCAGGGTTCAGGGTTCAGGCTTAGAAGTTTGTGATGGAATAGAAAGGTAAATGGTCATGACATCCGCTATGGCGAGCGTTACGCGCTAAATCTACCCCTCAGAAACCTTAAACGCATCGTCCGTTACACCTCAGCAATCCAATCCTTCCATCGCAGGGCCTCTCACATCGCAGCGCTCCTTACATCGCAGCGTCTCGCACGTGACGGCGTGCGTGGCGCGCTTCGCCACGTTGCCCTCCGCGAGTGTCAGCCCCTTCACCGCGCACCCCCCGCGCCTCGTCTCGTTCGCGCGCAATATGCGCTCCACGGCCGCTGCCGCCTGCGCGTGCACCCTGCTAGAGTCCGCGTGAGCGGATCGCCCCCCACTCGCCTTTTCCTGGCGTCTACCCGCACTCGGACTTGAGTTTTCTTGCCTCCTTCCCGCACTCGGCTTTTCCTGTCGTCTGCCCGAGCCTGAATTTCCTTGAAATTTTGCACCTGTGCGCGGGCGAGGCCCATCTGTGCCGCCAGGTTTCGCCATGGATTGCCCCCTCGACACACTGCGCTGCGAGAATTCCGTGCAAATGTGTACAGTTCGACGCGCTGAAAAACAGCTGGCTGTGTGCAAGTTAGGAGGTGACTAGCGTTTGGGGGGTGGATTCTATTCGCGTTGGATTGGATGTCCAATTTGTGAAGCTGGGCATGGGTGGACTCGATATAGTATTATTGCGGTTAGAATTTGAGATAAAGAGGTGTTGAGCAGCATCTGTGACAATAACAATATTAAGTAATTAGACTTGTGTATTTGTTAATCTTGGGAAGAAAGCAATGAAATAATCTGAGTATGCACATTATGACAACCAGGGTGTGCACACTGTTGCTCCACTAGTCATTAGTTTTCACGACTAAGACACCCTGGATGTCACCTGAAGCAAAACTGCACACAAATATCTTCACTTTTTTTTAGTTCAGTGTCATCCTATCCTGTTGGCCCTTGGTGTTGCCCCGAGTATGGCGATTGACCCCCTTGCATGGGGACTCCGTATTGCTGCTGTGATGGCATTGCTCCGGTCCCTTCCTGTGCACCTGCATAAGATAAACAATTGGAAACGTAGGGGGATAACAATATCAAAAACAGAATCTACACGCAGATACTGTATTGATTAAGGGATCGAAAGAGGGGCTACTGTTTTCATCACAACATTTCACCTTGGCTTGTTTGCGCCCCAGGGCCTCCTGCAAGCTGGCTGGCACCTCCCATCTGCTGCTGCTCGCCCGTCCCCTGAAATCCTTGGGGTTGTCCTCCTTGCATCTGCTGGAACCCAAAAGGTTGCGCAGCAGCACCAACGCCGGCAACGCCAGCAACGCCAGCTGGTTGCGTAGCGGACGGCATCATAGAAGGGCCTCCTGGAAATCCCCCTGCTGCCTGTGCCGCTTGCGTCGGCCCGAAAGCGGCAGGAGGATATCCGGGATACATGGCCCCAGGAGTGGCTGTCCCTACAGGCGGAACAAACATCCCTGGCTGCGCTGGAAAGCCCTGAGGACCGTACGGCGGAAACACTCCCTGAAGGACAGGACAAAAAAAAAGAGCTTAAATAGATGGGTACCGTGGGTGTAGGGAGAACGGAATGGTGGTAGATGTTATATACCTGTGGAAACCCATAGCCGGCTCCCTCTTGAAACTGCTGAGGGTACCTGGAGGATGATGTACATGGAAAGAACATACAGATCTTGAAACATAGAGTGAGCAGCAGATCGAAGATTTAACTAGAGGGACCAGGAGGGATGATGAGCCTAAAGCAACATACCCGAAGGGTGACATGGGATAGCCCTGTAGCGGGTACATGGGGTACGGGTGTTGCTGTGGGTACCCGCCGAACGGCACTCCACCTGCTACCAGAAATTCAGCAGTTAGTGGAGGAAAGAGATTAAGCGACATTAAGAAGGTAGCTAGCGTAAAGAAATATCAGCTGAAACTTTATCGGACGGCGAGATTCTTACCCTGCTGTCCTCGCGGCTGCTGCGGACGCTGCTTCTGTCCTAACGAAGCGAGGTTGCAGTTGGCCCTTCTACCGTCTATGACTGGCGACGGGTCAAGACACGCTCTTTGTGCAGCCTCTGGGTCACTGAAAGTCACCTGAAACGGAGGGAGGCGAGTTATCCTACTGTCATGAGAGTCAGGCTGATGCTTCCTGGAACAGGAACTGGTGTACTGTGCAGCTCTGGATTAGTACATAAACTTGCTAAATAGCTGCTTACAAATCCATAGCCTTTGGAGCGGCCGGTCATACGATCCGTTATTACAACCGCTTCAAGAATCTCGCCGAACTGCTCAAAATACTTGCGCATGGTTTCCGTTTGAGTCTCCCACGCAAGGCCTCCCACGAAGACCTTGGTGAGCGTGGTGTCGCCGAACTGGCTAGAATGGCCGCCGTAGCGAGGATTCCCGGTGCCATGGTGAGCCATGAGGTAGCTAGCAGCGGCGCTACGGCCCGGGATGGCCCACACGGCGGTCGCCGTGTTGACCAAGCCGCTATGCTACTCTAGCACACTCTCCTAGCCTCCAGCGTGCCTTCAGACCCGGAACGCCATGCAACTACGGACAAAAAACTGGAGCAATGTTTCAGATTCTGCACAGTAATACCAAGGCACGGGCCTCAAGTGCACCGTGCAGGCTGTCTTTATTTTGCCAAAACTGGTGAAAGTGTCAGAGATGTAGCTTTATGCACACTCCCTTCTTTCTCATAGCTCCAGCCGAAGAACCCCAAGAGAGGAGGCCTTGCTTGCTCAGCTTGGGGGGGACGCACTCCCCTCAGGCACGCCTGCCTGCTCGCTTTCCCAGCGGAATTGGAGATTGGAGAATCAGGGGTGTGTCGGACCGCACCAGGAGGAGCGCGGTGCCCAATGCCGTAACGTCACGGAGAGCGGATGTGGAAGGCAGCCAATCGCCACATCGCTGCGACCAATAGGGAAGCACGTGAGAGATGTGGCGAATCCAGTCTTGGCTCAGATGAAGGAATGATCGTGTCCGTCCATCCCAGATGACGCTCTCAGGATTTAGGCAACAAGCCCGCTACTGAAAAGTGCTGATTTAGTACATAAGCATCTGCTGAAGATTATTTGTTGAACAACTCACAACATGTTTTATGGAGTTTGTCATCAAACTAATCTCAAGCATGGTTCTTCTGGGGTGTGTTTGCTTGTCCTATTCTCCAGAAATATAAAAATTCCTAATGAAACTATGCACGGGAGCGAGGGTCGCTTCTACCAAGGCGAAGAACATCGCATGTAAGCAAAGTGATGGAAACTATAATGCACAAATATTGGGGTCATGTACGATCCAAACGCCGGATTTCGGAAGTGTTCAAAGCATAGGGTCAGGATTCCGCCAAGGTGTGTGCGGTTAGATGTTGTCACGAACTGGGATTGCAGCCCTTATTTTAGTGTAACTGTATCTTGTAACGTTAAAAATAAAGCCTTGTACAGAGTACAGCCGGAATTCGGCCCTCGTTTTGTATGCGTCCCAGTAACGAGTGGATTTGTTTTGAGTACATGCACTTTGTTACACCAAAGCTTGGCACTTCGTTCTCCAATGCCACAGCGCATTCTGAGTTCGCAAGGCCCACTTTGCCCGCCAACAGCATGCGCGAATCGATGCGAGCGAGAGCTGTTCGCGAATTCTCGAGGCGCTACATATGCTCTCTACCGAAGTTGGTTCTCCAGCAAATTTGCAGTTTGCTGTGGGCAGGGCAATGTTAAACCACCCAACCAAACCTGCCATCGCGTTTCGCATCCCCCCCAGGTGAACCCATCGCATCGCATCGCACCCAATCGCAACCAACCACCATGACTACCTAGCTTGTACACGAATTTCTTCAGTCTGCCCCATCCCTCCGTCCATAGCACATGATGATCTGAATTGCCAGCCAGATCCTTGAGAATCTGACGTGGCTTCTCCTTCCTCGCAAAAGCATCAAGTGCTGCCATTTCGATCGACACACCTCACCTTACTTTCCATGTTTTACTCATTGCTCCTCCAGTACCACCACATGTCGCTGAGCCGCCTATTGGTGAGTTGGCGGTCGTGAAGAGACGGCTGGCACTGTTTTCCTTCCGACTCGGAACGGAAACATGAGTCCACGTCTCACCCACCCGCCGTTGTCAGTCCCACCCAGTCGGACAGTGGCCCGGCGGTCAGACGGCTCGTCTCGTCTCGACTCTCGACTCTCGAGTAGGCAAACAACTCCGTGGCGGCGAGCATTTCATTCCAGTCAATGAAAAACGGCCCAGCCCCTTATCAGTTCGCCAAAGCCCAACGGAGTTCTGACCAGAGTTTGATGCGGTGCGGGGCCGCACATGAACGTTCCCGCGTTTGGTTCAGACACATGAACGCAGTGCTTGGTGCCGTAGCTTGCAATGCTCGGATAGTAGGGGACTGTGAAGCCGACTCAGCTGTCACCTGAATAGCGGACGCATCGCAACACTCTCTAAACGCTTTCTCAACCTGCTATTTACGGCTTCGAGCGGCTCAGACTTAGTTATGCGCCTCGGAGTTAGAACGCGCTTCTCGAAAGATTTCCCGCCGCGGGACCCGATCCGCCAATGTCACTCAGCACTTGCTCCCGTTACCCCCCTCTGATCGCGCTCCTTCTCCCGCTTCTCGCGCTGCTCCTTGCACCGCCCAACTCCCTGTGCGCTGCGGAACGAGAGAACCGATTTAAATCCGCTACTACCGCGACGCGCTTCATCCTGCTGCCCAACAACGCGTACGGCGCGAAATGCCTCGACGGCAGGTGCGGCCGGCGGTGGTCATTCACACCGTAATTTGCAATCAACACCGCGAGGAAAATGCCTCGAGGAAAATGCCTAGAGATACAGCCCTCGAGTAAAATGCCTTCTCATTAACCCATGCACATAGAATCATATCACTCCCATCATGGAACGATCGGATCACCCCCACCCTCCTCTTTCCCCCTCCCCTTTCTTTTCCACCTCTTTTCCCCCACCCCTTTCCCCTCACAAGTCCCCCCGCGTACTACTTCCGCGCGGGGTCGGGCGCGGGGAGGCGCAAGTGGCACGTGCATTTCCCCCAGGGCGGATGGTGCTTCTCCCCAGAGGGATGCATCGAGCGCGCCAATTCCTCCCTCGGCTCCTCGCACTTCTGGGCCCGACGCCTCCCCGCCATCGTTGAAAACGGCAAGAAGGTGCCGAATGTGAGTAGAGTGTGCCCTTTCCCTCCGCCTCTCCCGCTCACTCCGCCAATTCCTCCCTCGGCTCCGCGCGCTTCTGGGCCAGACGGCTCCCCGCCATCGTTGAAAACGGCAAGAAGGTGCCGAATGTAAGTCCCTCGTCACTCCCCGTTTCTCTCCCTCTCTAAAACGATCCTGACTGTTATGTAGCCCTGGATACAGCGCGAGCAACCGAGGCTAGTGGATCTGTAAAACCTGTTCTACAGCCGTGACTGTGGCACCTGAGAAAGGCATCCCACCGCACTGCACCCAACCCCACCCCACCCCAACCCACACCAACCCAACGTACCCTACCTACCCTACCACCAGGCTACGATCTCCTACCCTCAATTCGGAGGCTTGCTGTCGCGGAGCAAGAGAGCCAACCCCGTGTTTTACTCGTGGAACCTGGTGTGGGTGGTGTACTGTGATGGTGGCGCCTACAGCAGCACGCGGGGGAGGGCGGACCTGGGGGAGGGCGCATCTGTGTACATGCAGGGGCGGGAGATCATGGCCGCACTCATTGACGGTGCGCTGGGGGAAGAATGACTGGAAAGGGAATGAGAAGGGTGGAGTATGGGGAGGGGGGGCTTGGAGGTGGGCACATCTGCTGAGTGGGATTCAGAGAGTGGATAATGAGAAGACTAGGAAGGGAAGAGAAGGGAGGAACCAAGCCGAGAAATGGCAGTGCATAGCCACCCACCTACCCCCCCACAAACACCGCCATCCAACCAATGCTCCTCCAATCCCCTTCCATTGCAGATCTCCGCACTCGGCGGGGCATGGGGGCGGCGTCGCATGTGCTCTTCTCGGGCAGCTCAGCGGGCGGCCATGCCATCATCATGCACTGCGACCGCCTCGCTGCCGCCTTCCCCCGCGCCCAAGCCTCTTGCCTCTCCGACTCGGGCCTCTTTGTTGGTCAGTGAGAGCATCTGGTTGTTGCTGAACGGTTTCTGGTGCTTGGATTCGTTAGCGAGCATTTCATTAGTGGGTTGTGACACGAAGACTCAACACACTGCTGTGCCGACTCGGGCTTCTCCGTTGGTAAGTTGCTGTTTGTTGCTGGGCGCTGTATTCTTATTGGTGGCTGCCCTTGTAACTTCTGGAGTCAAAGAAGCATCTTGGGATGAGAAGGTTTGGGCCTGCCAGGGCGACAAAACACTGCTACGGCATGTCACATGTATCAAGGATGCTCTAGCTCCTGTTCTCCCTTGCACTCCTTCCTGGTTCAACCTGATTCAACCTGAATCTTCATCCCTGTTGGAATCCCCCTGCCCTTTCCTTTTGCCCGCCTGCCAGATGCCAAGGACCGCTTCGGACAATACTCTTGGCGAGATAGGGTTCGGGAGCTCACCGCTCTGCACCGCATCAACGTCCCCAAATGCCCGGCAGGTGAAAGCTTTGCAACAGGCGACCCTCAGGTGAAAATAGGACAGGAATACCAGGTGATTCTCAGGTGTAAACACGAATATCAGGTAATCTAAGGTGCAAACCCAAGTACCAGGTGCCCACGTTCAGATTTTTAGTCGACTTGTAATTAATTTTTAGTTGACGCAGTAATCATCTTGTTCCGCTACTCCCCCCACCCTCTTACTATCACCCTCTTCCCAACCTCCCACCCCCTCAGGAGCACGAGTGAGGGACAACTGGGTCTGTTTCTTCCCCGAACACACCCTCCCCAAGATCAAAACTCCCCTCTTCCTCCTCCAGTTTCACTTCGACTATCGGCTCATCTCTCTGGAAAACCAGCTCCCAGAAAACAGCACCAAGTACGAGACAAACTGCCTCAGCATGCAGATTCTCCTGCCAAACGCCAGTGCCGTGGCTCGCAAGCGAGCGTGGGACGGGCTCCACTGGAACCCGAAATTTTGCTTGCCTCAGGAGGTTGATGCGGTGTTTTCAATGGCGTCTTTGTCGTATCGGTCCCTGGCGGTAGCAGTAAGCAGAAAGAGGAATTTGGGTGTGATGCTGGCACCGGGATTGGGCCACACTGCATTGTTTTATCGGGGATGGTTCATGACGGCCATTAGAGGGGCGAAACTAAGCAGGATATTCAATAGATGGTTTGTGAGCAGCAGAAAAGGTGTATTTCTGCACGAGTAGGATACCTTTATTGCGTGAGGCTAACTGCTCATATTGAGTCTATGCATGATTACCCAAAAAAAAAAAAAAAAAAAAAAAAAAAAAAAAACATCGTAGTGGCTGTAAAGTGTTTTGATACGAATACATACTTGTTTTGACTAGTGGCTTACGTATGGTTGAAGAAATGTTGATATGTGAAAGACCTCCTTGCATGAGGCACACACATAAACCGATACCATGTTATTCAGCCTGCAAAATAATCATTTCGGCCTTGTACAGAGTAGCGAGTCTTCCTCAAACTCGCCCAATTTCCGCAATCGTTCGTGTACCAGTGGAATCTTGTTCCAAGACATGGACTATGTTACAGAGTTCCTCGATAGGCTTTCGTGTCCAGCAGCAGCAGCTTTGCATTTCGTTGTCCAATCTCGCGGTGCTCGCAGCGCCTACTTCGCCACACTGGAGGATGCGCAATGCGATGCACGTGTGTACGACCCATTTCCTCGAGGCGCCACCTAAACTCTCAACTCCACTCCACTGGGAATTGGCGAAATTGCAAATTCGCCTGAAGATTTGCAGTTAGCGGCCGCTACAGCCAATTCATACCCTGAGGGCGCATTCCGCTCTGGACATGTCCCGATCTTACATGTCCCAATCGATTCCACCGCTCCGAACAAAACTAAACCAGAGACGCGAAAAAAAATGACAATGTTTTGAACTAGGGTTTAATTTGGTGTAATAAGATGCAGTGCGGTGAAATCGATTGGGACATGTACGATTGGGACGTGTCCAGAGAGGAATGCACCCTAGGTCATGGATGCGTGTCCGCTTGCCATAATCCCCCCTCTTGCGCAAACCTACCTATCAGTAACTCCATCGGCATAGAATACAGTTGGTTGGGATTGGGAGTCTAAGGACTCCCAGCTGGACAGATTCCGCAAGACGGCTCATCTCGAGTCGGGCAATCCACTCTGCGCGAGCATCCCTTCCAGCCCCATACACGTTCAAACCTGCCCCCCACCGCCGCCCTTCCCAGTCGGATGGGTCTAGGTCAGACGGCTCGTCTCGAATCGGCAAACAACTCTGCGGTGAGTAATCCGCGGGGTAGCTCTGTCAAAAGAAAGGCTTTCCTCCGTGTTTGAAAGTAGTACTGTCTCACGCCGCGATTTACAGCTTGGAGTTGAATTGCGCTTATTCTAGAGTTCCCCGCCTCGCCGGGACCTGATCCGCCAATGTCAGTCATTGCGTTCCTCGCGCTTCTCGCCTCCGCCCGCCGCGCTTGCCCCCGCTTCCCCCCCCCTGCTCTCACTGCTCCTCCCGCTCCTCGCGCTGCTCCTCACGGCGCCGCCCCGCCCTCTGTGCGCGGCGGAACGAGGGAAGCGCGTAGAATCCGCTAGTGCGACGCGCCTCGTCCTCCTGCGCAACAACACGCGCGGCGCGAAATGCCTCGACGGCAGGTGCGGCCGCCGGTGGAAGGAAAGGCGATTCTGCCACTGTCGTTCCGCCCGGCTACGATCCTTCCGCTGGTGGAAGGAAAGACGATTCCACCATTTTCATTCCGAATTTTTAGGCGCCTCAAAACTATTTCTGAAGCGCCTCAAGAATCGAGTCCGCCATTGTCGTTCCGCGCGGCTACGATCATCAAACGCTAAAATGGAAACCTAATTCCATTGCAATTACGATCATTCCACCGACAGGAGGGACATGATTCTTTGTGAATGGGTTGATGAGCGCCGAACATGAAAACCTAAACCCTCGCATCCCCACTTTCCCCCACCCTCGCGCGTGTACCTCACAAGGAATCCCCAGGGTGCCTTGCATATTTCTCTCTACCTTTCCTCCCATCCTTCCTCTTTACCCTTTCCCTCTTTCCGCAAGCCCCCCCGCGTACTACTTCCGCGCGGGGAGGGGCGCGGGGAGGCGCAAGTGGCACGTGTATCTCCCCACGGGCGGATGGTGCTTCTCCCCGCGCGACTGCCTCGATCGCGCTAACTCTAGCCTCGGCTCCTCGCGCTTCTGGGCCACACGCCTCCCCGCCATCGTTGAAAACGGCGGAGCAGTGACGAATGTGAGTTTTCTCGCTCCCTGACTTGCTCCCATTTCGTTTCTCAAACGCCCTCTCTCATGCCTCTTTTCTCATGTCTTGCCTTCTGTTTCCTCGCTGCTCTTTGCCCTCCCCTTCCCTCCACACCGCAACCCACCGTCGTTTCCTGCCTCAAAAGGAAATGTCTGAGGCGCCTTGAGAAGACGTTTCATAACACCCCACCCAACCACATCCCATCCCACCTCACCACCCCCCACCCCACCCAACTGTACCCTACCCTTTCACCAGGCTAAGGTCTCCTACCCTCAACTGGGCGGCTTGCTCTCCCGCAGCAAGAGAGCCAACCCGGTGTTCCACGGGTGGAACCTGGTGTGGGTGGTGTACTGTGATGGTGGCGCCTACAGCAGCACGCGGGGGAGGGCGGACCTGGGGGAGGGCGCATCTGTGTACATGAATGGGCGCGGGATCCTGGACGCGCTTTTTTATGGTCGGTTGGAGGAGGGTGGCTGGGGAAGGGTGGCTGGGGGAGGGCGACTGGGGGGAGGGTGGCTAGGGGGAAAAGCGAATGGCTGAGGGAATGGCTAAGGAGGGGATAGGGGGAACGGCGGACTCAGGGGCGGACATATCTGCATAGGGGGAATTCGGAAGGGAAGAGGAAAATATTTGGGGTGGAAGGGAAGAAACCACACAGGCGGCATGATAAGAGCAGCGTTAAAAGATCCATGCTCTATCCACCCACACCACACACAGCCATCCAGCCATTCTCCCTCCCCGTCCTCTCCCATCCACCACAACCCATACGTGCTGCTGCGTCAACGACAGGATCACCTGCTGCTGGTCTGGCCCATCCGAATCTGCTCTGTGCCCACCCCCTTGAGCTCATCCCTGTATGCCTCCCTCCCTCACACGTTAGCTCTCTGTCTCACCCCCCAGAAGATTTGCTCACATGGTGGAAGGGAGCATGGAGGTAGATTCTACATGGGGGTAGACCGCTGGCCTCCCACATTCTCGTGTATTTGAACTCGATTTGACACACTCCTCTCCTTTCTCTCTCTTTCACCCCCCCATGCCAGACCTGCGCATGAAGCGGGGCATGGGGGCGGCGTCGCATGTCCTCTTCTCAGGCAGCTCAGCGGGCGGCCATGCCATCATCATGCACTGCGACCGCCTCGCTGTTGCCTTTCCCCGCGCCAAAGCCACCTGCCTCGCTGACTCGGGCTTCTTTGTTGGTCAGTGCAGCGCTGTGTTATTTTTTGGTGAGCGAGCGCTTTGATTGTTGCTGATTGGCCCCTGTTGTCTGAAGTGTGGCTTGTGAGCAGGATTACTGTAGCGTCTGTAATAATACAGGGACGTAACTGTAATGATTTCTTGGCCTCTTTTACTCCCCTTCCCCTCTGCTCTGTTGCCGCCTGTCAGATGCCAAGGACCGCTTTGGGCAGTACTACTGGCGAGAAAAGATTTTAGCGCTCACCGCTCTGCACCCCATCAACGTCCCCAACTGCCCAGCAGGTGAAAGCTATGCACCAGGCGATCCCCCAGGTGAAACTGGGACTATCTGGTATTTCTCAGGTGAAAACAGCACTGCCATGTATATCTCTGCTGTAAACGGGAATCATCAGGTAATCAAATGGCATGAAGCCGAGTAGCAGGTGATTACCATTATGAGCTTCCAGTATTAATTTCTTGAGTCGACTCATCATGATTTTTGAGTTGACTCAGGCTGACTTTTATACGACTCATCATCACACTTGAGTCAACTCAGAAGTCATCCTACCTCCCCCCACTCGTCCCCCCACCTTTCAGGAGCACATGTGAGGGACAACTGGGTCTGCTTCTTCCCCGGAAACACCCTCCCTCAGGTCACCACACCCCTCTTCCTCCTCCAGTTTCTCTTTGACCGCCGCTTAATCCGCCAGGAGAAGCAGCTGCCGGCAACCGATTTCCAGTATTCCACAGACTGTTTGAGCAAGCAGATTCTCCTGCCAAACGCCAGTGCCGTGGCTCGCAAGCATGCGTGGGGGGGACTCAATTGGAGCCCGTCTGTATGCTTGCCTCAGGAGGTCGACGTGGTATTCTCGATGGCTGCTGTGTCGTATAGGTTTTTGGCGGAAGCGGTACGGAGAAAGGGGAATTTGGGGGTGATGCTGGCCCCGGGGATGGGGCACGCGGTGGTGTTTTATTGGAGCTGGTTCAGGGCTTACTTTGGAGCGCCGAAACTGAACAGGATATTCAATAGATGGTTTGTGTAAGGAAATTCCCTTTTCCTTACTTCGCGTCCCTGCTCAACGCGTACATCACTGTAGCACCTCAGTCAGCACCGTTACCACTCGCGACCATCGCATCATTCATCATCCCGCCCTTTTCGCACATCGCATCCCGACCTCACGGCTCGGCTGGTAACCCGCGCTCCGGGCCTACGCTTCGACACTTTCCCAACCTCAGTCCCAGGCTCGTCGCGCGACAACCACAGTCCATTACCGTTACCACTATTGCTTCGCTATATAATCCTTCGCTCATGCCTTCGCTCAATTTTGTACTCCTGCTTCGATAGTGCAATTCTCGTTCGTTCACTCAATTGCACTCGTAACACTTGGTATTCAGAGCCTACGATCTCATCTCGGACCGCATCCACACCTTCGCTTCCCACTATCTCAATTTTTGGGGGGGGTAGACGTCTCTCAGCGATACAGCACCGCCGCTCGTAGTGCTCTCTCGGAAGCACGCACGGCCACGACTGAGGCTCTCGCTGAGCTTGCCCGACACCCCTGCCATGGCTGATTTCACTATCGCCACGTTGACGCAGGAGCAACTCGATCGTCTCGTGCGACAGCTGGAGGAATCAGCGCTCGAAATCGCGACGCTCACGGCGGAACGTGACTCCGCCCGTCAACAGTCAACGGTGAACGCTCCGACAACTTCCCAAGCGCCAACCAATGTTTCTGTCCATTCGGAGGAGCCGATTGTTATCTCATCCGGCACACCAACGCAAAACAACAGCACGGTACAGCGCTCAGGCGCAGCCAGTGACGGCGCAGCCCAACCGATGCCCGGCATGGGAGGGAACAGGAATGCATCAAGCCCACGGGAGCCCCGAGAAGCCCGTCGGCACGTGGAGTTTGCGATGACAAGTGGAGGGAACGCCACGATGGCCCCAATGCCACTCAAGCCGCAACGCCCGCCCTGCTTCGACCCAAGCCAACGCGGTGGCCCGACAGTTCAATCGTGGGTCTTCACGATGAACGTGTTTTTCGACGCCAACTACGTCGAGTCGGACGCCGCCAAGATTCGGTATGCAGTTTCACTACTCAGGGGCCCCGCCATGGACTGGTGGCGAGTCATCGTGACATCGCCACGCGCCTACGAGCCACCGCCGCACGAGGAAGGGCCCTCGGGTCCAGCTGTCACCTGGAGTTCGTTCTGCGAAACAGCCCAATATAGCACGTGGGATGCGTGGTGCGCAGGGCTTCGGGCGCGTTTTGAGCCGATCGCGGCTTCTATTTCGGCGCGTCAGAAACTGCGCACTTGGCGCCAGCTCGGGTCGGTCCAAGACTACACCAGCGGTTTTCTCGCACTTTGCGAACAGGTCGGCTACATGCACGAGGCGGAGCGGGTGGACCGTTACGTCGGCGGACTGAAGCCGGACATATCGCACGAGATAATGCTACGCGGGCTATCGAATTTCAACGAAATCCTCGCGCTCGCCGAGAAAATCGATATCCTACGCCGACCGAGACCGGGGTCCTATTTCGGACATCGTCCTCGGGGACTGATCGAGCACGCCACCGTACATGCCGTCGCAACGAATGCAGCTGCCACGCCATTTAGAGGGCGCTGCTTTGCTTGCAACCGGCCGGGCCATCGCAAGAGCGAATGTCCAGAAGAGCTGAGGCGTCGAGGAGCAGAGCAGGGGAGGGAGTCTTAGAGGCAGGGAAACGCCAACAGTCAGTAGAAATTGGGCCAACTACTGACGAGACTGCCTGCTCGCCCAACCACACCGACCCTCACCGAGTCACAGTACCGATTCACGCCATCGATCGGGCTCGGATGAATAAGGAGGGTACAGCGACGGATTGCCCAGTACTGATCCACGGGAAAATACAGGGAGCAGCAGTCAAGATTTTCATCGACGGAGGAGCTAGCCACAGTTTAGTTAATACCGCAACCGCACGAAAACTTCAACTGACACTTAGCCGATGTTTACCTGAGATTGATGCGCGCTTAGTCGACGGCACGCCGCTGGCCATACGGGAGAAGGTGGAGAGAGTAAAAGTTCGCTGCGGGGGGAACTTCGGGTTTACACAGGAAATGCTCGCGACGACACTGGATGGGCACGACATTTTATTGGGACGTGATTGGTTGCGACGTTACAATCCGAGAATCGACTGGACGACGGGCAGCTGCACTGTGCGAAGTAGTGGTAACTGGGTCGAACTACCACGCTGGCAGTCGCCTGAGTCATCGACGGTCCACGTCAACGCCATCACAATGAAACGAGCAGTCGCCGCTGGAGCTGACGTGTATGCAGTAGACATCGCAGTGGTAGAAAAAGATGAGCAGCCGAGTGATTTCCAGAAATTGCTGACAGCGGTACCGCCGGAGCTACAAGAGCTATTGAAACGGTACCCGGGAATTTTCCCCGACGACTTACCGGAAGGACTGCCACCTCAGCGGGCGCACGACCATAGGATAGAGTTAGAGCCGGGGGCACAGCCAACTGTACAGCGCCAGTTCAGACTGACACAGCCGGAGCTCGACGAACTGAGGAAGCAGTTAGATTACCTGTTAGCAAAACAGTTTATCCGACCGAGCTCGTCGCCGTTCGCCGCACCGATACTATTCACACCAAAAAAAGACGGAGGTTTTCGCATGTGCATCGATTACCGAGCGCTCAACAGGGTTACAATAAAGTCACGATACCCCATTCCCCGCGCCGACGAACTGCTCGACCAACTGCGAACAGCACGGGTGTTCTCGAAAATAGATCTACGGGGAGGTTACCACCAAATTAGAGTCGAACCATCGGACTGCGCCAAGACAGCTTTTAGAACTAGGTACGGGTCGTTCGAGTACACCGTGATGCCTTTCGGGCTAACCAACGCACCCGCAACATTCCAGATGACCATGAACGAGGCGTTTAGACCCCTTTTAGATAAGTGCGTGATCGTCTACCTCGACGACATTCTCGTCTACAGCCGCGATAAGCAGCAGCATTTAGCGGACCTGGAAGCAGTGTTTAAAATTCTCGTGGAGCATCGTTTATTGACTAAGGGGTCTAAGTGCGAGTTTTTTCGGGATAGGTTAGAATTTTTGGGGCACGTTATTTCAGAGGCTGGGGTTGAGATTGACCCGAAAAAGCTGGATACGGTCAAAGCTTGGCACCCCCCGACAAACATCACGGAGCTGCAGAGTTTTTTGGGTTTCGTTAATTATGTCCGTCGATTCGTGCCTGACATGGCCCGCTTAACTGCCCCACTGACGGATCTGCTGCGGAAAGGGGTCGCTTTTACGTGGGGGGAGAAAGAGCATGCTGCCTTCTCTACCCTGAAAACTGTTCTCTGTTCACCACCTGTCCTGCGCATTGCCGACCCACACCGCCCATTCGAAGTCATTACTGACGCAAGCGACATCGCCATCGGAGCCGTACTGTTACAGGATTTCGGGAACGGCCTACAGCCCATCGCATACGAATCACGAAAACTGCACCCACCTGAGAAGAATTACCCGATACACGATCGCGAAATGCTTGCGATCGTGCATGCGTTCAAAGTGTGGCGCTGTTACTTGACCGGCGCAGACGTGACAGTACGGACAGACCACAAATCTCTACAGTACCTCCGCGCACAGCCTCACCTCAACCCACGACAGATTCGATGGCTCGATTTCCTCGAGTCGAATTTTCACTACACGGTCACCTACAAAAAAGGAGCATCAAATATCGCCGATGCACTGACTCGCCCTACTGCCCAGATTCACGCGATACTACTCGCCCAGACCAGCCCACTGCTGACAGGCCTATTTACCCACGGATACCAAACCGACCCGTTCTTTACAGGAGGCAACTCGCAGCAGTTCGCAGCAGCACGAGGGATCTATTACGTAAAGGTTGGGACCGACCGCATTTGGGTACCCGGGTATACACTACTACGGGAATTACTGTTACAAGAGGCACACGACGGAGTTACCTCAGGACATTTCGGGGTAGAAAAAACACGACAGCAGCTGCAGCGGTATTATTACTGGCCAGAAATGTTGACCGACATCCAACGACACGTAGCATCGTGTCCCACCTGCCAGGTCATGAAATCATCACGGAAGCGGCCGGCAGGACAGTTGCAGCCGATCCCACCCCCAGAGCGTGCTTGGCAGCAGGTGACGATGGACTTCGTCACGGGGTTACCGGCCGGGGCGAGTGGGAACGACGCGATCTTGGTCGCCGTCGATCGACTGACGAAGATGGCACATTTCTCAGCATGCAAGAAATCAATCACAGCCGAAGAAACAGCCCGCCTCTTCATCACCACCGTCGTTCGCCTCCACGGGATACCATCGGCAATCATCAGCGACCGCGACACGAAATTCACCAGCAACTTCTGGCGGAACCTGTGGCAGCAGTTCGGCACACGACTTCAATTCAGTTCATCCTATCACCCCGAAACCGACGGACAGACGGAACGGACAAACCAAACCATGGAGCAGCTGATTCGAGCCACGTGCGACGATCCGAACACGTGGGAACATCAGCTGCCGCTCATCGAGTTCGCGTACAACAACGCACCATCAGCCACGACGCAACAGTCACCGTTTTACCTGAACTACGGACAGGACCCAACAGTACCCATGACCCCACACCCCGACAATCCAGTCCCACGAGCCCAACAGTTCGCCGAGATTTTGCAAGCAGCACGGACCAGGGCAGCAGACGCAATTAAAAAAGCCAACATCATCGCTAAACGAAACGCCGATCGCCACCGTCGACCTGTCACTTACCAGCCAGACGACCTGGTACTACTCGATACCCAGAACCTCCGCCTGCCCATCACTCCAAAACTTCGCCCCCGATATTGTGGGCCATTTCGCATCAGCCACATGATCACACCCGTCACCGCCCACCTCCTCCTCCCTGCTGACTGGTATGTCAGCCCGTCATTCCACGTCAGCCTACTTCGCCCTTACATACCATCCACGAGCCAACTGCCACGAAATCGCCCAGCCAGCATGACACGTCCCCCAACCGAACCACTAATCACCC